TATTACAGAATGTAAAAACCACTTCTTTACTCATGTTAGAATAACTTCATAGTGTTCATAAGCAGTTACCATGCAATTTAGGAAACTGTATAGTCTGTTCTCTAATTTTTTATATTTTTTCTACCGTGTAGCTTGAAGGAAGCGGAAAACACATTTACCCACTTAATTAAATTGGATTTAATTAACACTCAATGTTGCTCCATGCATTCGCATGAATCACCGGACTTCACTTTGTCAATGCACCTATACTGAGAGAGCAACTTAACCCCATTCATTTAAAGCAGTAATTACAGAATCCTCTCTGGTATACTGAAAGGTGTCTTAAAGCTCTGACCGAGGACATTTTAGCTAATGGTGTCCGTGAGAGATATATGTGACAGGTGTTTAAAAGGCCTGGCTTTTTTTTTTTTCTTTCTCTCAGACGGCGGAAGGCAGAGGGCATTAATATTTACCAGTCTCTGGGGGTCAAAGCAAAATGTATTCATCTCTCCTAAATAAAATATACGTGTGCTGCACTTTCCGGGCTCCACAAAAGATTTATCGTCATGGGCTTGTTATTCATTTCACCATTCGTTTTTTGCCTCCTGCCATTTGAGTAAAGGAGAGAAGTTGTATCGGCTACATTAAACTGTAGAAGCCATTGTGTTCATCCGGATGTGGGCAAAATCAATGGGAGCGCTGAGGCTCAGTGAAATGTGGTGTGGATGATGGGTTGGTTTGTGCAACCAGGGGCCGTTTATTGGAGAATATGATGAATGAATCTGTATCAAACTGTTAGGGGTGTACTTGCTATAAGTAAATAAAATAGAAGTTCAAGACAAAATGATTAGTTCTTTGAAATTGTAATTATTATTTGAATATTTTCTATTGGCTCTTAACAGCAAGGGCTTATATATTTCCTACTGTATTTAAGCCCTTATTTCATTTGGGTTTTTTTTTCGATTAGCTACAGAACAAGCCACTGTTATACAATGACTTGCCTAATAAACAAAACTTGTAGTTAGCCTAATTATTTAAGCTTTTAAATTTAACCTAAATGATAGAAAAATATTAACTAGTTTAGTCATGACAAAGACAAGATACAATAGTTAATGAAACTATGTTTTAAAATGTGTTGAAATAACTCTTGGGAAATATTTGAAAAAGGCGAGGGAAGCTAAATAAATCAATATTTGACAAAGAATATAAATTTCACAGGAGGGCTAATAATTTTGCCTCAATTGCAATTTAACATCCATTAAACATCTGTAATTTCTGTAATTTAACTTTCATTGTGTTCAGTAAATGTCTGTAATTTAATGTCCGTTATTTTGGGTACATGTCTGTAATTTAACGTTCTTCATTTTACGGTAAATGTCTGTATTTAACGTCCATTATTTTACAGTAAATGTCTGTAATGTAACATCCGTTATTTTACGGTAAATGTCTGTAATTTAAGGTCTGTTATATTTGGTAAATGTCTGTAATTGAATGTCCATTATTTTCGGTATATGTCTGTAATTTATGGTCTGCTATTTTCGGTAAATGTCTGTTATTGACGTCCTTTATTTTATGGCAAATGTCTGTATTTATCGTACTTTATTTTACTGTAATTTATTATTTATTATATCTGTAATTTAAGGTCCGTCATTTTACTGTAAATGTAATTTAACGGCCGTTATTTTACAGTAGAAGTCTGTAATTTGAGGGCCGTTATTTTTTGGTAAATGTCTGAATTAACACACATTATTTTATGACTTATGACCTCAGCAGCTGGGAGAAAAAAAACCATAAAATAACTTTTTTTTTTTTTTTTTTTTGCAGTGCACTTCACACTATAAATATCACACAATAAAAATGTCATAAGCAACTATTATAGTTTTTATTAATACTTTCATGTTTTTGTTGTAGTGATTTTAGAGCCTTAATTTATACACTGCAAAAACAATCCATAAATTAACAGTTTTCCATATTTTGTGATTCATGTTTTTATTTTCCCTTGTATATTTATGTTTTTGAGTTGCATCCTTGATCTTTTTTCCAACAACTTTTAATTTTGAAAAGTAAAAAACAAAAAACTGCCGTAATATTTTCTGTTATTTTACAGACTTATTTCACTCTATTAATTCTTTTTCAAACTACTAAAATGTCAATAAACTTTAGTCACTTTCTTAAACTGTAGATGAATTTTCAACATCAAACGTCGATAGAGCAGAGATCAACATCCCATAATGCATTTCACAACCGTAAATAAACAAAAAACACTTGTGAATCACAAAATACAGAAACTGGTCATTAACAGATTTTTTTTTACAGTGTAATATTTAAATGAAATAAAAACATTCTCATTTTAACAGTGTAAAATGATATTTTTTATAATATACTGTTACTAGCATATTACTTTTACTTAAATACTTTTATTTTCAGCTAATGTTTATTCTATTTCAAGAACAAAAATCTATGGTTTGTTAGTTGTGCAAACTAACAATCAAATTCTAAATAGCTTACAAATAATAAGAGTCTAAAATTACCTTCCTTGTTAAGATGTATACTGTAAATAAAATGTGTAGTTTCAAACCCCAGTATAAAGTATTTAAAAAAGGTGTATAAACCACTTAGCAATCAATCGACACCAAATCAGAAATTTGAGAAAATGACACAGCTTTACTATAAAGAAAGGCGTCTCGAGCAGATTAAGTTGCAGCATCTCGTCATACACGCATACATGGTGAACAATAATGACTGACCATTCCTCTGGCCAGACTTACAGAAGAAAAAAACAGTTAACCTGCATGATATACAATATGATTTTGCTCTAAAAAATCAAAAGGGAACAGCTGTGGCGGTTATTCTCCTCTCCGTTTTAAGGATTTTTACTAGATTATGCATGTTACCGGTTAACAAGTACACAAAATGATCTGACATTGGCAGGAAAAAGACAGAATAAGCAATATATTGACAAATATATACTGTAGATATATATTTTAGGAACATCGCCAGTTCACTACAGCTTATGGACGAAGGAACAATACGCAAAGACGGGAAAAGTGGCTGCTGAAACACAAGGCAAGGTTGGAGAAAATATGGTCAAGACGAGTTTCGATTATACCTTGACTTTACCTTACCGTGATCTACAGAAGTTATCTGTTCAAGTATAAGTCAAACAAAAGCAAGGCCTACCGTACAGAGTAAAACAGTGAAAGGCAAACGAGGAGACTATTGCTTTGAGGTTTGGAGAAAAAAAAGCAGATCTAATGGACTCAATGAGTTTCGTGAACACGACTTACAATACGAAGGCATCATAAAGGACATCGAATTCCTATCAGGAAGTCACGACCTGATATTCAGCCCTTGTAAAGAGCATGATCAGCCTGGTCGTGTCACAGGAGAAAGGCAATATGGGAGTCTACACTGTAAAAAGTGATTAGTTGGCTTTACTAAGTAAAAATGAGTAAACCTGTTGGTTTTAAAATGATTAGTTGACTTTACCTTAAAAAAGTGAGCCTTAAAATGTAAAAGCCTTAAAAAGTATGTGAACTTTATTTCAGTATGGTGACGCACTTCCAGCTCAAACAGAATATTGAGGGCTGGGGGCTTTCTTTTTGAGCATTTCCTCATAGCAAACTAACAGAACAATATATTATATTGTAGCCATCAAACTGACCACCACTTCAGTTTGTAGGCAAATGGCCAACATTTGCCGAAACATTATTTTTTTTACTTTCATTAATTTGTTCACGGATTATTTGTTCACCTAAAGAATAACAATGTGACAGAAAAATTACAATAGAAAAATAAACATTGTAAATTTTAATGTTACATTAAGCAAACATGCTTTGTGTATAATAATATACAATATAATCTGGCCTGATCTCATGAGAAAATGTAAGTATTTTACTTTTTGTAAGTTTAGTGGCTAATTCGTAAGAATTAGTACAATCGTACAAAAATGTACGATTTTAAAAAGTAGGCGTGGCATCAAAGCCCAACCTTTAAACCCAACCGTCATTGAATGATGAGCAAATCGTACCAAATTGTACAAATTAGATCGTACAAATCCATACGAATTAGTCACTAAATCAAAACGTTACGAATTGCCGTGAGATTGCGTTAGTATAATCATAAATATTAAGTCAACTTAACAATTCCAATTTGTAGCTGGTTTGCTCACCTTTTAAAGTTGCTCACATTTCAATACAAATTATGACTAAAAATAAACATTGCACATTTTTATTTCACTTTAAGTAAATTAACTATATGCTTATTTTAAATATTTAGTCAACAACACTCACTCAAAAATCTGTTTGGCTCCTTGTTCAAAGTACTTATTTAAAGTGAGATGAATCAACACAATTATTGAGTTTTTTGGGGAACAAATTAATAAATTTGTAAAAACAATTAAGTTAACTTAATCCATATAAGTTGGGACAACATAAAAGAATTAGGTGGAACACAGCATTTTTTTACAGAGCTTCCAAATTACAACTGGTTTACTCACTCTTTAAAGTAACTAATTGTTTTTTACAGTGTTTGGTGCAGTGGTACAAGAACAAAAATTACAAACCATTTTCTCTTGCATAACACAATTCAAATGTTGTTTACAAAAAGTATCATCCTCAGTGCAGAATGCTACAATGGTACAACTCTACAGCTTTTTTTTTTTTTGCTATTTACATCTTCAGTCGGGCGAAATCAGGACGTGGGTGACAAATTATGTCACGATTAAAATGGCAAGACACAAATTCAAACCCCCACAAAAACCACTGGCTGATCCCGAATCCACAACTGTGCATGGAGTCCTCTTTTTTGGGATGCACCAAAAAGCATTTTTATTATGAATTATTCACTTAAACAATATTTACACAACAAGGCCTTATTTGAGGAACAGAAATAAAACTAAATAAATACACAATATTTCCATTTCATGTTATGTAGAAATTGTTAAATAAACTCTAATATGTTAACACAACAGCAGTGTGATACGACATTAATACTAAAAAGAGCAGCACAATAAACGAATAAGACGTACTCTCCCTTTAATGGTGACATCACATTTCATTATTTTACATCGCCACAAACATGGTTCTCCATCAGTAAAGCACATTTTCATCCTAAATTACACAGAGAAGCTTTTATAATGTGCTAAAAGACTTTTGAGTAGGCATTGTGCAGTCATCAATAAATTATTAATATATTAGTCCTTATTGTTTTTTTTTTTTATAAATAAAATCAAGAAAATACGTAGAGGCATCCAAAAGTTTGAGATCACCAGTGAAAATGTAATGTTGTTTTGTCATTTTATACAGCACTTTTCAATACAAATGAGATTAAAATAGTTTCAGTGTTAGAACATCTTCATATTTGGTTTGTTGCGCTTTTGTTTTAACAAACTTGAGGCCAATGAACAATAAATACATAGTTTTTTTTTTGTAAATGTTCAAGAATAGCAAAGGCCACTCCATAGCTGTAAGTGATAAATAAGGATAACTTTTTCAGCTAATGAATAATTAAATCATTGACAGCTAATCAGAATCTACAACGTTAGTTGCAGACGACAAAATAAACACGAATGAAAACAAGGCTTTGAAGAACAGACTTACAGTCGTTACAATACAACGCATTGTGATAATGTCCAAGATCACATTATTTTTCACACTGTAAAAAACTATTAGTTGACTACACTTAATAATTTAACTTAAGTTAACATGTTAACTCACTTTTTTAAGTTAAATAACTGTGCGTACATATAAAAATCCACACTCAAAATAAATACACTGAAAAAAATGATGCCTGCAAAATTGTTGCAAACAATTTGCATGTTCAATTTAAACACACAAATAAAATTATATATAATAATATAATAATGTTCACCCTAATTAGTTTGTTTAAATTCATTCCAAAAAAAATTGTTTATTTGTTTTATTACAACTAACTGTAACTTTAAAAAAAAATTGCAAATCCAAAGAATCATCTTTAAATCAGTTTTTTTCAGTGTACTTTTTGCTGCTTGTTCAAACTAATTTAAAATGGATTGAAAAGACACAATTCTAAAGTTGTGGGAAAACCTAAATGTGTTATGTTGAAACCAAATACATTTTTAAAAACTATTAGGTTAACTTATTGATTAGTGTTGTAACAATATGAAATACTTGTGTGGAATGCTACATGTTTTACAGTGCACATTTCAAGTTCCAATGGTTTTTCTCACTTTTTTTAAATAAAGTCAACTCGTCCCTTTAGAGCAATGGATTTGCTCACTTTTGAAAGTAAAGTAACTAATTGTAAAGGTTTTCTGAACGGTATTTTTGTCAAGTGTACCATAAATATCACTCACAACCTTGTTTTCACCTAAATATGATTATTAGTTATTGGTGCAAAAGAGATTGATGATCAAAGGAAAGAAGAACATCTGACCATCTGTAATGAGTAACAAAAGGCTTTAAATAATTTTATGAGTTCTTAATATTTTCCAAAATCGTCAAATGTAACTCATTTCCAGGCGCAAATAGAAAAGCTTTTCAGACTTTCAAAGTGGCCTCAGACTTTTGAACCCAACTATACACAGCAGTGCAGAAGATAAAGTAATGGCAATCATTTTGGAGCACAGGTAGAGACGAACTACAGTTACAGTGGCATGTCTTCAGGGCAGTGTCTCAGCCGCAACACTGGATCAACCCCAAACAATATATACACTTATCTTTGCCTAATGAGTTATTCATTTCTAGAAATTCCCAAGGAATAACCCAAAGATGTATTGATGCACCCCAAACTTTTGTAGACTCCCTTTACAAACTTATTCTGACACCGAAATCTTCACCCAGCTGATTTAAAAAATGAATAAAGAAAAAAGTGATTTCATCATCATCATCATCATTATTATTATCATCATTCTCTTTTGAGGACTATATAAAGCAAGTATCTTATAAAAAAGGAATATATTATTGTTTTTAACTCTTCGTATTACAACCTCTCCATTGTCCTTTGCGCTAAAATACTACCATGCTTCAAAATAAAGATTTTTTTTTTTGATTTACAAGTGGCGCCGTCTAACCTCAGCCTATAAATATTGGTGGCATTTTACAGTTGCAGCCAGTGAAAATATATTAACAAAGCAATGGCAGATGAAAGCATGATATCAGTCCTGTAGCACATATAAGAATAAATCTAGGACTAAATAAGTTTTCGTGAAAAAACAAAATGATGAAGATTCTAACGCCCAATTATAACCCCAAATCATAATAACAATAATACATAGTGCATAGTTTTACAAAGCACAGTAAACTGTGCCAGCACGCTATACGAATTTCATTTGTTTGTTTGTTTTTTTCTGGGGGGGATAAATCAATTTTAGTGTCGAAAACAAATAAAGGGATCATTCACTGCGGAAATATCAATATGATAAACCTATCTGCCGACGTTCTGCAATTGAGTCGACCCACAGTTGATATGTCACAGGTCTGGTGCTTGTATATCCATTTCTTTGATGCTAGTAGCTACAGTAGGAGGAAGAAGAGGAAAAGGCAGATTTCCAAAATAAAAAAGAAGAGCGTAAGCCACACGAAAAGCTCAAAAAGTTCGCCCCGTCGCCCTAAAGGCACACTAAAGTCTGTGTGGGGCATGGGGATGCCTCAAACAAAGGTTTCTGGACGCAATTTTAGCTCCCCATCCCTTGTTCAGTAGGATCATGCACTCCAGTGCGTTCTATGTGAATACTCGTAATTCTCTGTGTATATATATTTATTTTCTATGCGTGTAATGGCACCCTCCGGCCCGCTGGGGGGCGCCGTGCCCAGGTGGAGGTGCTATGCCAAAGAGTAGATGGCATTGACAGGTGATGTGGCTTCTGAGCTCTCATTTCCTTCTGTCTCCTCTTTGTCCTTCTTTACTGTGTATTGGCCGATGAAGGAACCATCCTCGTTGAATTGTCCGTCTCCTCCTTCGCCGTAGTCCACGAGACTGTCGTCGCTTTCTTTAACGTTCCCGTCCAGGGACGTTTGGCTGCCCTGTAACGGCTTGTTGTCTTCGTCGCTGCTGTTGGGAGGAAGAGAATAAGAGTTTGTATAAATGACAAAGGGTCTTAAGGTTTGGCTGGTTAGCATTGCGCAGTTTGCACCTGCTGGTTGACAATGTAACTACATCGTCCGGTTGTAAAAAGCATGCTTTACCCTTAACAGTCATTTAATAGAGTACATTGTAAAAATACGATTTATTTTCTGGGTCTATGTATTATATTATATTATATTATATTATATTATATTATATTATATTATATTATATTATATTATATTATATTCATTCATTTTCTTTTTGCCTTAGTCCCTTTATTAATCTAGGGTCGCCACAGCGGAATGTGCCAAAAACTTATCCAGCACATGTTTTACGCAGCAGATGCACTTCCAGCTGCAACCCATCTCTGGGAAACACCCATATACTCCCATTCACACACATACACTCCGGACAATTTTAGCTTACCCAATTTTAGCTTATACCACATGTCTTTGGACTTGTGGGAGAAACTGGAGGATCCAGAGAAAAACCCACGCGAGCACAGAGAACATGCAAACTCCACAAAGAAACACCAACTGACCCAAGCGAGGCTCAAACCAGCGACCTTCTTGCTGAGAGGCGACAGTACTACGTACTGCGCCACTGCATCACCTATATTATATTATATTATATTATATTACATTATATTATATTATATTATATTATATTATATTATATTATATTATATTATATTATATTATGTTATATTATATTAACTAATTTGTTTAAGTTATTGCGTTAACCAAGGCTGCATTTATTTGTAAGAAAAATACAGTAAAAACTGAAATATTTATTATTATTAAATAATAAATATTAATATTCAATATTATTATCATTTAAAATAAACAAAAATATATTTTACAGCCAAATTAAATTATTTCAGTATTTTTTTATATTATTTATTCTTGTTATAGTAACAATACATTTATTCCAGTTTTAAGTATAAATATTATATATATATATATATATATATATATATATATATATATATATATATATATATATATATATATATATATATATATATTGTTATCTTTTATTATAGTTATATTTTTTACATAAATATTGTTCAAAGTTGTTGTGCTTGATCTATTTATTCCATCCTTGCTTGAAAAAATCTAAACTTTATTCTGTTTGCAAACTTCTGAATAGCAGTGTATCTATTTCCTACATTCAGGACATTTATATATTTACACAGATTTATATAATTTGATAATTGTCCTATGACTCTAGAGAGTTATCAGTCACATGGCGTTTACTGCGGAAATGATTGGCTCCAAAGGTGAACAAAATATAAAAAAATGGCTGTAAATGTAATAGATATTAATTGCAATCCTAACAAGTAGTACTGATTTAGCTTTTTTTGCTAAATAACTAGCATAAGGTAAGATAAATAAAGCTGTTAACAAATACTGAAATCTGCTGAAGTGATTCAATGCATTTGACACTTTGAAAGGAGAAGAAACCTAATAAACAGCATTACAATGGCAAACTTCTACATGATACGTGGAGTCTTTTGCTTTTTCAGGTTAACCATGCTGAACAAAAAACTGCATCTGACTCTTGAGAAGCATCAAAAAGAAAAGAAAACCCTTAGGTGAAATTTAATACTAAAGACAAAGACAAACTTACAGCTCCACGGCTCTCTGTATCCTATAAGTAATGTCATGGCTATAAATGGTTGATAGTTGTAATATATTATCACAGGTAGATCATTAATCAAACACATGCCTCCGCTATTAAACTGGACTTCTGAAGTGTCATGCATTATGATCTGGGACCTACATCAACCCAGAAGCATCAGAAAAACGGAAAAAAAATCAAAAAAATCAATGCAACACTTATCAAATCTTCAAAATTGCTGACTTCACACTGAGGTCCTTCTTTAATTTCATGTAATACCTATGGACCTTGTTGTAAACTGCTTTACAGATGCGATGTTAAATCGAAATATTGTAAATAATGCACTTTGTCTGCTCACAAAACATGGTTTACAACCAGGCTCCATGGTATTATTCATTTCTGCGGGTCATAAAAATGCTTTTACCAACTCTATAAACAAGAAGAGGTTCTGCATCAGACATGTGTACATTACATTATTAGTATGATATTATTATGATACGGTTCTCTGCATGCGCATGACAACTGGAAATTCATGGCCATTTAGTTATTATCTTTAGAGTCAATAACGCACATTAAAAAAAATCTTGCTTTTTTCACCAAAGGAACTCTGTGCACCAGCAAGAGTTCAGGGAATCATCATAAGAATGTGTTTTTGATTCAATCGATCAGTCCTCACACTCTCGCACATTTTTATTACCTTAGGAAGTGACACAAAACTATTTTTTAATCAGAGAAAGCAACCTGTATTATATTTTGCACATCATTTTTGACAGAATTTGGGAAACCAGAGATGACATAATGCACACCTTCATTTTAATGAGGGTTTGTTTTAAACTAAATAATTTGTTTATATTTATTTATTCACATTTATTATGTGGTTACACTGTACAATAAGGTCTTATTTGCTAACATAAGTAGCATTAAAAGTGAGAAATATATATTTTTACAGTGTTTAGAGTTATTTTTACAGCATTACCCTTTATTAATATTTGTTTATAAACAAATAATAATTCAAATTAGTACATTGTGTAGTATTTTATTATTACCTACTGTAGTTAAACTATATTAAACCAAATTAATTATAATGGTAAAGTTAAAAAAAAAACATATTACAGAATAAAATATATAATACACAGTTGAAGATAGAATTGTTAGCTCCCCTGTATTATTAGCCCCCCTGGTTATTTTTCCCCCAATTTCTGTTTAACGGAGAGAAGATTTTTTTTCAACAAATTTCTAAACATAATGGTTTTAATAACTAATTTCTAATACCTGATTTAATTTATCTTTGCCATAATGGCAGTAAATAATATTTTAGTAGATATTTTTCAAGACACTTCAATACAGCTTAAAGTGACATTTAAAGGCTTAACTAGGTTAATCAGATTAACTAGGCAAGATAGGATAATTAGGCAAAACATTGTATAACAGTGGATATAATTTTGACCTTAAAATTGTATTTAAAAAAATTTAAAACTGCCTTTGTTCTAGCCGAAATAAAACAAATAAGACTTTCTACAGTAGAAAAAATATTCTTGGAAATATTGTGAAAATTTCCTTGCTCTGTTACACATCATTTGGGAAATATTTCAAAAGCGAAAAAAATTCAAAGGGGGGCTAATAATTCTGACTTGAACCATATATGCCTGTCAGACAAAGTAAAACATATAAAACAAATGTTCTATAAATACAAATAGAATAGAAATGCACTAATATATTAACAAAAATAATAAATACACATTTTCTTTTATTCTAAATAAAAATAAAATATTTCTATTTTTGTTATTTCCATTCAGCTTAACTTGATGTATTTAATAAAAATAAAAATCTTAAACACAAATTAATTCAATCTCTATGGTCATACTAATAAAACAAAAGCTGACAAGAACACAAAATTTTTTTCAAACCTTGCCTTAAAAAAAAAGAAAATAAACTAAAAATAAAGTCTAATTCAAACTGTTAAAAAAAACTACAATGATACACTGGAAAACCCAAAAAGTTAAAGTAACTCAATTCATTTGAGGAAACCGATTGCTACAAACAACGAGTTTAAAAACTAATCCCAATGAGTACTGGGAACTTATTCCATCTGAGTAAATGAAGCATTTTAAATACAATAAAACCCAATAAATGAAGAGAACACAAATCAACTGAGTTCTGGAAAACTCAATAAGTTAAGTCAAATCAAACCGTTTGAGGAAACCGATTGCTACAAACAATTTATAACAATTTATATAAGTACTGTGAACTTACTTCATTTAGGTTAAAGTAATAAGGTATTCAATTAACTTCAACACTAAGTTCAAAACTCTTTTCTAATGAGTAGAATTAACTTTCAGTAAATTTTGAGTTAACTACACTCATTTCATTCGATAAAGTTTACTCTTGGGTTTTACAGTGCAATACTACTAGTCTTGCTCTATTTTTAATTGCATTAAACACACTACACTAAAAGCAATACTTTTAGTTAATGCATTTACTTAGTAAACAGTCACACTTTGAAAATCACTCATGTTAGAATGACAGGAAAGTATATGAGTTACCAATAAATGTTATGCTTTCAATCATTAATCAACGCTAATGGAGAAGGACATGTGTTAATCGATTAAAATCAAAAGCTCAAAGCAACAAAATAAAGCTTTAGATCATGATTAGCGAGTCCAAAGTGCCGCTCTTTCCATACCTTTCCCTTTCAAGAGACCTTCATTGGACCAACGGGAATGGAAAACACCCAAGAAAAAAATACGATTAAGGGAGGGAAAAAAGTGAGAACAAAATGATGAATAAAACCAAACATCTGTGTCATCAAAGAGGCAACTAGAAGGAAAAAATTAAACGATGCAGCGAACATCACAATTATAAACAGCTCTCAGCAAATAATCTGTCAAATAATAAGCTTTGTGTTTGTTTATTTTCTAGATGCGGCATCCTATTGAATACAGATTAGGGCTCTGATCTCCAGCAGACTCTCCTCTCGGATTGTAGGAAATGCATTATCAATTCTGAAAGCCAAAGGGTATCAAAGACTCAACTGACTGAAAATTCATTTTTCTAGCAAAAGTCCAATTGCATGCAAGAACACGTTCAGCTGAGTTTCCTCTCAGAAAAAAATAAAGCAGAATCATTTTCATGTTTCATGCATGTTTCTGACCACAGCCGTCCTGACATTGAATACTGTGTTCTGCGGTTTCTATTGAACAACATTTCAAGGGTGTTAAACGTGATGAGGAACTTTGGTTGAAACAATATAACCTTGACATCACAGTGCTGGCTTTTAAAATATTAATCTTATAATGAAAACCAATGAATCATGATTATATATATATAGTTTTTGTATATAACAAAAGACAAAAATTATTTTAAAAGGAATAAAATGCTTGAGTACTTGACATTTTTGTTCAGGTCAAAGCTTTTAACACTTACTCCAATTCACTCTCATAAAGGAATGTCTTTTTATGAAGTATGTTAAAAGTGCACTCTTCTTAGTGAAGCAGGCTGACTGTTATTATAACACATTGTGTCCTAACCAGGCGCAATGTTCCCAGCGACAAGTAGTTTTGACACATTCCCACTCCTAACTTGTAAAACTTTAACGCTTGGTCACTTTTTTTTTAGCAGGTCTTTGGTCATTTTTCGACATGCAGTGTCCTAATTATTACATAAAGTCAATGGTCACTTTATTAGGAACAGTTTTTGCCTTCAATGCTGACTTATTTGTTGTGGCACAAAATAATTAAGGTTTTGAAAACATTCCTCAGGCATTTTGGACCATACTAACACAAAAGTGTCACATTACATTTTTTTATTTTTTGGATGATGATTCATCAGCGATTAAAACAACTTGTATAAATCCAGGGTTGCAGTCTTATATGTTTAATTCATATAACAACTGTTGCATTGTGGATAAATACATTTGTGTGCACTAACACCTAGTTTATCTGAGGTATAAGACATGATTACTATTGTAAAGGCCATTCTCAGGGGTAAAAACCATTCAATTCACTAAATTCCTCCATTCTTTAGAAGACTTGGAATACAATACAAGGGCTCAGCATGTAAAGTTGGGTTATAATTCAAAAATTATCACTATATATATATATATATATATTTTATAAAAATGATAACGGCTGTTTGATAAATGCTCAATAATATTTATACTTTGCTTAACGCTGCGGAGGCATTTTGCAGCCAACACTTCTGGTTGCACACGTTGTACAAGTTTACAGCCATACAGTGTTAGTTGCACTTGGAGGAGTAGGAAAAAATAGGTAAAAGAATAAGGTCACAGTCACAGACACTGTTGACAAGAAACATCACTAAACTACAGTAGTCGTGGAGCTACTTTGTTTTTTTTACAATCCGACACAAAACAAAGCAACGTGCACTTCAAAGTGCGCAGATGACTCGTGCCATCAAAAACAGGCAACTCCACAAACCTGTTTCCTCATTAAAACAATGGCACCCTCGTGAAGATGCTAAGAAAGACCCAAACAAGTGTTGGTAAACCAACTAAAACAGCAAATGCTAAAAAAGGATTAAGATTGCTTTTTTGTTTATTATTTTTTATTTATATTGTCAAACAGCTAAAACATTTCACAAAATGAGTTGAATCAGCTGCACAAAGGGATTGGCATGCTAAAAAATCCTTTGAATTGACAGATATAAAGATTTGACATTTATTATGATAATTATCGATATTGACTGATATGAAATAAATGATCGTGATAATTTATTTTGCCATATCGCCCAGCTCAAAGTACATGCCTCACAAATCTCTCCTTTAAATGAATATTTTCTATAGGATGCTTTGCAATATTTAATTTTTATGCCTATACATTAGTTTAGTCAGTACTGAAGCCAATTCTGCAGCAAATCTAACAAAAATTAGTAGCCCAATTTATATGTTAAAATATAACATAAAATATTACATAATTTTGTTTTAAAAAGAGCAAAAATCAAGAGAAACAAAAATTTGCATGAATTTAAATAAATTGTCTATTTCTAAAGATGTTCATTGGCTAAAATATGATTTTAATAAACAATATATGTTTAATAAATCTATTTAGTTCAAATGCACAAAATTATATTAACTATATTCACATTCAAGAAATGGATAAAAAATTTTATGTTCTAAATTAGGTTAAATTGGGTAGTTTTCTCTCAACATGACTTTATTGGTATTTGATAGGTATAATTACATTGTTTACAAATGCAAAGAAGAACAAAAAATAATAATAATAAAAAAAACAAATGCACATTTATTTGGCACACAAGGCAAAGTGACTTATTAAAAACTAACCTTGAATTAAGGTTAAGGTAAAAGGTAAAAACCTTGTAATAAATACAATGGTTTTGCTACACTATAACTATAGTCTAACCAAGGTATCTGTATTACTTTATACTATAAACTGTGGTTACTACACTTTTACAACAATAAAAACAGGATGATTCATTTTGAAAAGGGGCTAAATAATGGAGTACACTGCATGTTAAAAATATGACACCAAAGATTAACCCTGTATAACCCGAACTTCAAGTTTGGAGTGAGAACATGTTGAGCAGTTTGCTGTCCCTAAAAAGCAAAATAGCTGCAAAATGCCACACAATCACAGCCATTTATGGCTAATTTATAAACCTAAAAACATCCTGTCACTAGCCACACCTGAGCTGCTAGCATCCTCCTTTTAGCACTAGCTGTTTTATCGCATTGTGTATGGTTAGGACACAAGTATTTGCTTTTGTAAAATTGTTCGATTGCATCCCATAAATAGAGGGATTGTGAAGTTTAACACCTTTGAAGGGCTCAATCGCTGATCAGACAGTAGCTTTAGTCCCTCAAACACTGATCAGACGGCAGCATTAGCCGCTGTTCTGTCATCCACTTGTATGCTAACTGATAACATGCTCAGGCTGAGATGATGTGCTGAAACCAAATACCTGTTCTCGTTCCTTAAAAACCCAGCCGCCAATTTGAAAGACGAGAGGGAAGAAAAGGGTTCATGAAGATGGAGTTGGTCAATCACATGTTAAATGGAAAGAGAAGTTAGTGCTAGAGTCGCTGCATAAGCCTTAGCATAGCGAAGCTATTAGTTATTGAACATCTGTGGTCTCAAAGAATTAGCTGTTTTACGTGAGAAATGGCTAAAAAGGGGCATGACCAGTTTTAATAAACATGATTTTGTCAAAACCGTTAGAGAATGTTTTATATTAGTGATTTAGAGCAGTGTTTCTCAACCACGTTCCTGGAGGCCCACCAACACTGCATGTTTTGGATGTCTCCTTTGTCTGTCACACCCACAACAGGTCTTTCAGTCTCTGCTAAAGAGCTGATGATCTAATTCAGGTGTGTTTGGTTAAGGAGACATGGACAATGTGCAGAGCTGGTGGTCTTGTGGTTGACAAACCCTGATTTAGAGGATTATGACAAAATAAAGTTTAAATATGTGAAATGTAAAAGATTATACACCAAACATCAAAGTTAAAAGCTGCTAGCAAATTTAGCTCATTACAATGGCACAGCAATCTACACTGTCATCCAATATATACAATGTCAGGTTTCCCAACACTGCATCCGCAACATGACGGATAGCTATAAGCTTTTTGGACTAGCAAACTTTTTGTACTCAGGTTGTCGTATATATTGAAATTTGAAACACACACTTGCAACAAAATGATAAATAGATGTTGGTTTTTTAACATTGCCCCAATGAACATCCGCTGATGTAAACAAAAGCCAACGGGATCAGAGTGGGACCAAGCTGGAGCGCTCACCCTAATCCCCCCGGCAATTACAATTGGCTTAAGATTGGCAATGAAATGTACCAAGCAGAACATGGGAATTTTTTTTTTAAAAAGTCATCGAGCACCAGTGTTTTTTTTTTAACCTGGAGTTATTTTATTTCATATAAAAAATGCCATGGTAATTAAGTTAAACATGTTGGACTGCTAAAATCTCACACACACACACACACGCACACGCACACACACACACACACACACACACACGCGCTTTTATTAGTAATTACTAAATATAATTACATTTTTCTAATAGTATTTAAAAATATAAATTTTTAGTTTTTTATATTTATATATGTTTAACATATAATTGAGCTTGTTTAATAAAACAATACAATATGGTCAGTTTTTGTTTTATTTTTATCAAAATATTTTTATAAAATGAAGAATTAAATTTAAATAAGACTTTGCAAATATAATCTGAATCAAGTCATCAAAAGTTACTTATAAAATATTAATAATTATATAAAGAATACTAAAGTAACACTGTGGAATGCTGGATGCTACTGTTTGTTGAGGCATTTTAAAGTTTGAAGTTGCACTGATTTCCTCTTGCCATTATTACAGGGTTTGCACAGTTACGAGCTCAGTCTGCTATAGAGATGTGATGTGGATCAGTACAGAACTCATTTACAGAAGCTGATGTTTCAGAGGAGGCAGATCAGACGCTCACTAGAGAGTCTTTAACTTCATGACAACCGCAGTTTCCAGAGGCTCGACAGCACTGATTTCCAGCCTCTGGTCATTGAACTGAGAAGTATTACACTTCAGCAAGTAAAACAGAGGTCTCATTAAATGTAATGTTTATGTCACTTGCTGTTTAGTATTGCTTTGGTTGAAATGGTTAGATGTTATTATTTGTTTAAAATTAGAAAGAGATAGATATTTTCCCCTCGGCGTAGTGAGGGCTATTTTCGGAACCTGTAATGGGTGAAACAAAATAATTCATCAACAGCATAAACAGCACAGAAGGCATATAAACACTAAGGCATATGATATACAATGCTCTTCTCATTTCTTATTTGAGTGATCAAAAGTGTCAAACTTACTGATAGTCAAATGATCCATCTTGGTCTTTATGATCGACGGGATCTAAGGGGAGGTCTTTCTTCTCTCTCACTGATAACAAAATACATATAAGTCATGTTAAAAATATATTTTACATTGCATATACATTTCAAGTGGTTCAAAGCTATTAATGTAAAGAAATTATTCCCAAACATAACCAAGGCGAATTACTACATTTTTCAGAGCAAGGTTCCTAAGTACAATTATCATAAAAATATTAAAGAAAATAAAACTAATTTCATCTGAATATGGTTCCTCGTTCAAAAATAAAACAATAAAAATCGTGTCTTTTTCAATAAAATGAAATAAAATATTTTTACATCACATCGGCTATTGATCAACCAATATATATATATAGCTCAAGACAAAATGATTAGCCCCTTTGAAAAAGGTTTTTATCCAACTATCACAATCACCAGTGATCTAATCCAGCAGATCGCTGGAGAACTACACATCTGTAACTGAACTGGATGATAAATGCCTGCACCTCACACACACCAGCTCCTGATTCCCCCTGATTACAGACATAGTTGGAAGCTCATAAAGGACTGATTTTCAGGATTATATATGCATTGCACTCACACAAACACATTGCTGAGTCTTGTTATCCTGTAGTATTACCAAGCATTAGGAATTCCTTTTGTCTAGTCTATCCGTGCCTGTTGACCTTCTTGTTTTTGTCTGGGACCCCGACTACTCTTCTGGATTGCCCTTAAAGTTCTGCTAAAGTTCTGCTTGGACTGTCTATTTGTGTTTAAGTTTAATAAAGGTGCTGCATTTGGATCCTCAACTCCGTTGTCACCCGACATACTGTTACACCAACAGATTTTAAGAACATAACAGTTTTAATAAATAATTTATTTCTTTTTTCTTCGTCATGATGACAATGCATAATACTTCAATAGTTTTTTTGGCAGCTACTATTATTTAGCAACATAAAGGCTCAACTAGGTTACTCAGACAGCGGGCAGCTAGCTCTCTGCAACTCGCACATGGTCGCCCACTAAAGCTAAGTAGGGCTGTGCCCGGTCAGTAAAGCTAGGTTTCTGTTGGACGTGTTGTTAGTGAGACCAACAGGGGGTGCTTAACCTGTAGTCTGTGTGGGACCTAATGCCCCAGTAAATTGATGGGGACTCTATACTGCTCAGTGGATAAGACTCTCTGTGGTCATTAAAAATACCAGGATGTCCCTTGAAAAGAGTAGGGGTTTAACCCTGACATCCTAGTGAAATTTGCCTACTGGCTTCTGTCCATCATGGTCTTCTAACCATCCCAAAATCATAATTGGCTTCATCACTCTGTCTCCTTTCCATCAATGTCTGGTGTGTGGTGTGTGGTCTGGCGCAATATGGCTGCTGTTGCGATATCCAGGTGGATGCTGTACACTGGTGGTGGATGAGGAGATTCCCCCCAAAAATGTGTGTAGAGACTTTTGAGTTTTCCAGAAAAGTGCTATATAAATGTAAGGAATTATTATTATTATTATTATTATTATTATTATTATTATTATTCAGGTTAACTAGGCAAGTTGGGTTAATTAGGCAAATGATTGGAAAACAATAGTTTGTTCTGTTGACCTTAAAATGATTTTTAATTACAATTTTTTAAGGAGGACTAATAATTGTACCTTTAATATAGTAATGAACTATGCTGTTTGTTTACCTGGGTATTTTCCTCCACGACTCCTCTTGATGAAACAAACAATGAGCAGAATCAGAACCAATAAAGCGACGGCACACATCAACCCAATGAACCAGCCCTGAGTAGCGATGTCTTCCTGCTCCTTATAGGCTGTTAACATACAAACACAGAAGGAGACAAGAGAGAAAAAGAGAAGCACACAATAAAATGTTTAAACTTTACAACATCAAGAATAGAAGAAGCAACTTCCACAGATCATCTCACACATTAAAAACCTGGTTCTGTTCCTGCATGATTTATAGAGGCAGGAGAACAGCTGAATGCAGAAACACCAAAGCGAGAGCCTAATAAATCTCACTGACTCTCAGCAACATGCTGGAGTCATTTGACAGCCATCCTTTATCAAAAACACATTAGCAGTGAGAACATTGGTTCTGGATTTATATTACCCATCCTGATAATAACATCAGAGCACAGGAAGAGTTATCTGATGAAAACGGAAACCCGGTAAAAGCCATCAGCAAATACTCTCCTTTTCAAAAAGCACTTGTTTTAATAGTGGCACACTTGGTCTTTCCTGATATTATAAAGTGGTCAGAGAGACGATACGATATTTTGTGAGATGATGAGATTTTTTTAAAAGATGTCTTTTATGCTCAAAAGAACATTAAGAAATTGTATATTCTTTAGCATTATTACAATTTCAAACACTACCTGTTTTCTATTCAAATGTATATAAAAAAAGGAATTTATTCCTGTGACTCCAAGCTATATGTCTGCATCATCAATAGAAACTCTAAAGTCTAAAGTGTCCCATAATGTTTTAGAAACCATTCTAATATGCTGAAAAAAATATATTATCAATGTTGAAATTACACCAGCATTCTATCACTACTTTCCTGTCTGCCTGGTATGCTTGAATGTTCCACTATTTGAAATATTGTTAATACTTTTATTCTCTTTTCTCCATTTATGTTAAGCTGCTTTTTGACAGTTAAAAGCTAATGACAAAACTAAGGCTCATTTAAATAACTCTAAAATGCTGATTTAAAAAAAAAAGCATTACTATCAAAGTTGACAACTGTTGAGCTGCTTTATTAAAAATTATGAATGTTTAGATGAATAGAAAGTTTAAAAGAACATAATTTATTCCAAATATATATTTTAACAATCTTTACTATTAATTTGTATTAATTTAATGCACAAATTTGAAAAAATAAATTAAATGAAAATATAGAATAAAATAAAATAATTTTACATTAATACAGGGCAACAAATGGGTTCATTCAAACTGATCTGATTTAAGCAAATAAATTATAAACCTTTAAGGACAGTTGGTTAGCTCTGAAGTTAATCATTTGAATTAACAAATCATATCTCTTCAAATTCAACTTTTAATTCAACTTTTAAAATCAAAACAAGCAAACAAACAAAAAACATAAGTGTTTAAGTAAAATTTGTGCAGAAAAACTACATTACCCATGATGCTGTAAAATGCAGAAAATTAAGCAATCGGATAAAGCAATCAGAGTATCACTGAGAAACATGTGGCAGCACTTAAGCTCCACCCACTTCTTTGAATCATCACAAATAGCATAAACAAGCCATTCTCCATACACTCCTACTACGTATATGCATATTTTCCAATACACATGAAATATATTATTTTTATAGATAAAACCAACAATTTTAAATGAATAATTGTATTTTTCTCACTTGATTTTTTTTTGTCTAATTTTCAAAATTATAATTCACATTGTACCTGGTTAGTTGAGTAGGGTCTCTCTGTGGGCTGCAAGACAGGGATGTAACATGAAGGAGCCTTAAGGGCGTAACTTGTAGTATGTTAGAGGCGTAACTTAAAGTTATGGAGACATGTCAAAACTCTGTTGTCGGCAAGATGGGGCTGTACATCAGTCAATAATGACTACACCTACTCCACACCCAAACCCAACCATCACAGTTATCAACATCTACACCTTCCCCAAACCTAAACACATCCATTACAGTTATTAACATCTATACCTGGGGTGTCCAAACTCTGTCCTGGAGGGCTGGTGTCCTGTAGATTTTAGCTCCAACTTAGAAAACCTAGTAAGAGCTTGATTAACTAGCCCAGGTGTGTTGGGGTTGGGACTAAACTTTGCAGGACACCGGCCCTCCAGGTCCAAGTTTGGACACCCCTGGTCTATACCTACCACAACCCTAAACCCAACCATCATCGTTATTAATGTCTACACCTTCTCCAAACCTAAACCTAACCATCACACACTGTAAAAAACCATCCTTAATTTTACGGTTTATTTCCGGCAGCTGGAGTGCCGATAAAAAAAGAGTAAAATGACAGCATTTAAATAACATAAATTTACTGAAAAATAACAGAGGTTGAATTACAGAAATTTACCAGAAATTTAAATTTAAGGAAATTTCTGTAATGTAATGTTCGTTATTTTACAGTAAGTTTCTGTAATTTAACAGACGTTATTTTACATTTTTACTCCAGCTGCCAGAAATAAACTGCCGTAAATTTATGGATTTTTAAAAAAGTTTTAACGTACAGCGTGAATTGTGGAGGCTTTCATACTTGACATGCTTGCTATTGTACTGTTTTTTGCAATCACAGGAGGCAACGCCAAGTAGGCTACATGTCATGACAAACAGATGAAGAAGTCAGCAACTTGCTTTAGTTATTATTATAATAACATATAAATGAATTGGTTGTGGATAAATTTGGAGAAAACTCATGAAAACATGCTCTCTGGTAAATATTTTAGCCATCTTGTCAACAACATCTCGCATGGTTTATTGGGATCTCGACAAATTACGCCCCTTCCTCTTGCACCCCCGTCCTGCAGTTCGCAGACAGATACACTTGGGTTAGTTTGGTTAATGGCTTTTAACTTTTTTAACTTTTCTTTTTCTGAATCCATTTCTGGTAAAACAGTGGACACTTAAGTCTTTTATAATATAAATAACAATGTAATATCACCCAAAAACTCTATTTTAATTAGCCTGATAATAGTGCTGTTTCATGTGTGCAAAATCACAGAGGGATCTATCAATGAGAGGAGCAAACAATAAAGCTGATGGCTTGGATTATTATGAGCTGGAAATTCTATATCTGATAAACAGAGCAAACATCCTACTTAAAATGACATTTACACGGCTCAAGGATCCATATCATCACAATGATCAATAGCTTATTGAACCGGCGCTTTAAATGTCATGAGATTTCATCTTGGTCACAACACCTTAGGCGCATATGCATCTTGCTGGGAAAATAAGTTTGTTAATGGATCTAAAGCTTCGAAAATAATGAGAACAATGTGCCAAGCATTAAAGAGGTAGTAAACATCTAAATGTAATTTCTGTCATCATTTACTCTCCCTCATGCTGTTGCAGAAATGTGTTTATCTATGGAAAACAAGGTGAAATATTTCTGTCCTTCCATTGTAAGACTGTTCACAACATAAAAGTTTTTCAAAAATTCTCAGTAATTTACAATTCTGTAGACAAACTGCTCAACTGCATTAATTTAAGTATGTGTAATTCATTACTTTCCACGATTGCTGATGCTTTAAAACTTTAATAAAGTGATCAAAAATCCTATATGATTCTTATATGGGGCACCACAACAGCGCAGTGGGTAGCACAACCCCCTCACTGCAAGAAGGTCGCTGATTCAAGCCCCGGTTGGGTCAGTTGGCATTTCTGTGTGGAGTTTGCATGTTCTCCCTGCATTCGCGTGGGTTTTCTCTGGGTGCTCTGGTTTTCCCCACAAGTCCAAAAACATGTGGTATAGGTGAATTGGGTAAGCTAAATTGTCGTGTGTGTGTGTGTGTGTGTGTGTGTATGTGTGTGTGTGTGAAAATGAATGTGTATGGATGTTTCCCATTGATGGGTTGCAGCTGGAAGGGCATCCGCTGAATAAAACATATAATGGATAAGTTGGCGGTTCGTATCACTGCAGCGACCCCAGATTAATAAAGGGACTAAGCCGAAAAAAAATTAATTAATAAATGATTCCATGACGTCCATTTCCCCAAAACATTTAAACTATTTAAACAGAACTATTTAAGAATGTTCTCCACAGTGCTCCAGTTTGCGGGAAATGGACACTTTTCAAATTTCAGAAGCGATTTGTATCAAATTCTAGTATCGTGACAACCCTAGTGCAAACTAAACTAAAACTTAAACTATTAGGCTAGCCAGCTAATAGTTTTATGGTACAGGCCCCTAGATGACAAATGAAAACAAATCTCCTTTGTTCTTGCAGAAGCTCAACCGTGCCATACAGCCTTCAAGAATGAACCTCATTGGCTTTCAAGCATCAAGCAAACATACTTAACCATCTTTGATTAATTTTTAATGTCATAAACATTGTTTACTGATTAACATTTATATGTGAATTAAAGTCTAAACTAAATCTATTCTATACAACTAAATCTATATATATATATATATATATATATATATATATATATATATATATATATATATATATATATATATATATATATATATTTATCTTTATGAAGTTTTGACAGTTGTTTAGTGAAAAGACTGAAATCTTTGATATTATCTTTGTTTTTGTTTTAGAATAACATGAGACTGAATAATTGATGACAGAATATTCATTTTGAGGTGAACTAGTACTGATAATGTTTAGTTTTTTTCTCACAGGAATCGAACCCATACCCTAATGCCATCCTATACAAGTTACCATTGACAGTAACCCATCAGTAAGTCCATTTGGTTCAGAAGGTCACACATAGAACCCTTTGCTCCTCCCACAGGTCCTGGCCACCCCTCACCTCTGCCTGTCTCGAACGTGACATAGTCGCTGCTGATGGAGTTGTGCTCATGCGAATAGACCCGCAACCGATACTTGGCCCCAGCCACCAGCCCAGCCAGCTTAATGTGAGGCTGCTGGTTTACTTGAATGCTCGTCATCGACCCATTACCTTCAAGAGGAGACACAAGACAGGTGCCCATCAAACCAGGCTAAGCTAAGAGCACGACGGCAGGCCATGTTTGTCAATTGAGGAAATGTGCTGCATCCCTTTCACTCTATGCGAGCATATTTTAAGCATGCTGAGAGCGAAAATACCGGAATATCTTCGCTCGGCGCACATCAAAGTCTGGCACTGGTGTATTAGGGGCATCATTTGCTTCAGTGATGCCTGTTAAAAGCTTTGAAGTGAAGCTGCTGCTTAATATCTCACACTGGGTTTGCTGTAATGAAGTATGGAGTGGAGGGAGGCGCACCTTGTCTCAATTACTCATAGACCTCATTTCAACTCAGGGGAAGTGGATAGACAAATCCCACAAATCCCAATGGCATTGTCAAGAGGTGGGCGTGATGTTCCAGTGAGGTTCCTTGATGTACATGAGGAACCCAAAAATGAAATCATCATGCACTAAGCAACTCATTGGCTTCGAGTCTGCATATCCACAATGTGACCAACCTTTGAAGCAAGCAGCCATTGGATTATACAATATGCATGGCGGAATTCAATTGCAGTGTCTGAAAGTGCAGATCCAGGACCAGTGAATGTACTGGAAACTACAGCAAAGATGAAAGTAAGTACTTGTCTATTTTGACAAATACCATCTATGCAAAAACACAACAAACAAAAACCTCAATATATTTTAGTGTTTTGTAGATTCAGCATTAATTTCAATGCTTGCAAGGCACAGATGTTTTGAGAAACTTAATTCTCTGATGTTACACATATGTGGTTTGCTAGCATCTGCACAAACATATTTGCATAAAGTCATCTGATTGGCTGACGCCTGTGTTGGCACTTCAAAGGATGAAAGTTTTACAATTTCTGCTTTGAGTAATGGACCCAACGTGACTCGACAGAGACAAATTCAGTTAAGGAACACAATGTCGCTCTATTCAAAGCAAAACAGTTGCATTAGTTTAGTCTAAACCAGGGCTGTCCAAACTCGGTCCTGGAGGGCCGGTGTCCTGCTGATTTTAGCTCCAACTTGCTTCAACATACCTGCAAGGATGTTTCTAGACCTAGATTAGCTAGGCAAGCTGTGTCTGATTGGGGTTGGAGCTAAACTTTGCCAGACACCGGCCCTCCAGGACCGAGTCTGAACATCCCTGGTCTAAACAAAAGTCTAACATCTAAAAGCAATCAGACGGATTAAATTAGTATTTTATAATTATAGTCATTAATAAAATACTTTCACATGTTTTCAAAAATTAAGTGATAGATTGAGTGTCAAGCTACAACAAATATAATGTAAGATCGAATTAAGCATGCAAAATTAAATATCCAGTCTCTACTGATATCCAACTTGAAGTCTAAGGCCCCGTTGACACTGCCAGTTGAATGTGACCCAATCCCGATTTTTTTGCTCATGTGTAATCAGATCTGTTCTATGACTGTGTAAACACGAAAAAAACGTATGCATTCGAATATTCAGAGATCGGTTTCAGGCCTCCTCCATATGTGGACATAAATGAGATATAAATTGCATACGTGACAATGCAACTATCATGTAAACAGGCAGATCGGATTTATTGAGGCATTCATTTTGTACTTTATTAAACTTGTGACAATCTGGTACTTCTCTGTGGTTTAATGACGTAGAAGGATGGGAGTGTGTGTGTTCATCCTAAAATTTCGGACCCACTGCTCCTCATTAAAGCCCACCACAATTTTCTCCCACCAGACCTGAGATCTCTCTCGTACCCACAAATTCCTCTGAATGGCGGAGGACACCATACACAAACCATAGTCGCAAGCCGCGATGACGGCCATTTCCCTTCTCCTCCACCTCAAAATTATTTTAAAGTTGGGTGAACTTCACATAATTCGCAAAGCTAAAAGACAATTTCTTCCATCGTGGTTAGTGTGGCGCAAATGCTAGATGCGCCACATGCATGCTTTAAATTGTATGGCAAGAGTAAACCCATGAATCGGATATAGGTCACAATTTTAAAAATTGTGTAAACGGACAGGCAAAAAAAAAATCATATAGGCAACAAATTAGAATTGGGCATTAAGACCTGACAGTGTAAACATGGCCTAATATTAGTTCATAGTTGATGTAGTATTGTTATTTCATAATAGGGAATTTTCACACCTGACTTGTTTGGAATGTTTGTTTTGGAGCCTCATACAGTTTGTTTAGGCATATATGAGCATGGTAATGGCACTCTAATGCAAAAAAATAAAATACAATCTTAGCCAGACTCAAAACAAATTCAGCTGCTTTGCTTGTGATGAGAAAGCAACACTCTACGTTCCAGGATTCTGTCCATTTGCTACAGATAAAATAAATGCTCCAAAAGGCTGATGCCATAGAAAAAACTTTTAGTGAAAAAAGTTTTTCATTTGAAGAATAAATAAACAATTAATATAACCCTTTCCTTCAAGGTTGTTCATGCACCTATTGATGATAATAAAGAATTTATATTGTTTAAGAGTGCAGATGAGCTCTGACCAATAACTTGTATGAACAAAAATAACGTATGTTTAGAAATGTTGCTTTGTGAAAGCAACAAAGAAGATATAGCAACACTGTTAACCAATATAATCCATTTTTGAGATACAAGACTGAAAATGGCTTTATTTAACATGTGTGGCCTTGCAAGCATTAACATTTCTTTCATGAAAATGTTAGGCTTTGTTTACACCTGAAATTAAGCATTTTAGTCGATCAGATCACCAGTAGACAAGGCCATTTACAGCTGATGTTTTAACTTGTTTCTTTAACCCACTTTTGACCACTTTCCTGATTTGTATAGGCAGGTGTATGAATGGACATTTTCAAATATTTTGATCAAATATTGTGAAATAAGCTTTTGAAATTTACATGTGAGCTCATACAATGGAAAACAATATAAAGATAGCCGCTAAACTACAGTAAAAAAAAATGGGTTTGTGCTACAATTACAGTTACTTACATTTAATTTCACCTTCAAAACAAACACTGGGTTTCAGATGGTAAAATGTAAACTCTGTCTGTCTAACCGGATGCTGCACAATTATGTACAGTTCGCCTTTTTTAAGTGCTGCAGATTTCTCTCATATTTTAGACAGTTGGGACACTGCTCAAATTCCCACCGTGGCACAGGGTGCCATCTGCATGGTTTTACATTTAAAAACATGATAGTATTTGCAAATAAAATCCCAGGTAGCAAAAAATTCAGGCCCAGATTTGGCATAAATCTGGCACAGCAGGCATACATCCGGCACTGGCATACAGCATGTGGGCCAATTATGGCCTTGGTTTGGGTTTTTTTTTAAGGCAGCACACAATACTTGGGCCAGATGTAAAATGTAGTATTTGGCTCAATTGTAAATAATTGATATGTGGGCAATGTAAGTTTTTGACAATCTTGACTTACATTTAAAATACATTTTTATTATTTATAAATAAATAAATAAATAAAAAAATTCTACCAATCAGGTCACTTTGAGAAAAAGCATGCCTATAGCAAAGATTCATGGGTTTATCAATTTCATTACAGTAGTGACACATTAAAAAACTTGGGCTAAAAATGTGGAAATCTGCAGATTTCTGCATGCACAGATTCCCTGTGGGCCTAGTTATGGGTTATTAACTTGGCTGAGACTTGGCCCAGATATGGTCCATGTTTGACCCTTGTATGAAAGCCAGACTTGGTCCAGTCATGTACTGTAATTCACTGTGGCATGTGGGCCAAGCAAAAACTGATTGTGTGGGCCAGAGCTGGGCCAAAGATATTTTACTATGTGGGATGTCCTCATCTGAATGCAATGCCTCAAATTGTTATAGTACATTAGTGTATATTTTCACAGCAAAACATTAAACTAAATGGCATGAAATTTACCTTAAATTTAGCAAAAACTATGGCCACATAATCATTTTAGTTGCAAAAAATGTATTTTGGTGGACGGGGATTGGGAGGTTGGGGGGTGACGTCGCGCGTGAACTGAAGGACATGGGGGGGGGGGGGTGGGGGGAGGGTTGTCGCAAGGGCACTTTAGATGATTTTGGAAGGGCACCTTCTATCCAAGACTAAAAAGGGCATGTGCACTGCACAAGTTGAGCCCGTAAGTGTGCACGTGCCTGGTCCCCATTCACACTTGTATTTAGAATCAGTTTGACAAAACACATCCCAATACAAGGTGTAAACAAGGCCTACACATCTAGTTTAAAAACTGAGTTAAAGAGTTGTCTGTTATTCTTCTAGTCTCGTTATTACATTTATTCCCATATAACATGCACAAAATGCACTTCAGTATCTTCAATATCACAATCTGCTTCTTTAAGATCAACAAAACTTCTACGTCTCTCACTTTTAGACATCACGACACAGACTGCATGCATCTGCCACAATCTTGACAGCACATGGTGAGAAGATGAGAAAGGGGAGAAAAAAACGAATAGGAGACGTTATATAACGGCATAGGAAGTCTACAAGGGGAAGTGCTTTTGGAGAATGTGTGCATCTTGGTTCTGCTGTCATTTAATCCCATAAAAATGCCGCTTGGATGAAAACCAGATCCCCAATAGCTATATTTTCACCTGTTTGGTTTGGTATTGCATCAGGATGTACAACATGCTTCAAGGTTAAACCTGTTACTCCGACTCTCCCCTTGAGGAGACCTTGAGTAGGAAATGATAACCTCGCCATTATCTCTCACTCTGAAACATTTCCACTAGAGATTTAAAAGCAGGGCATCAATCAGATATGGCAGGCTTTGCTGGCATAATCTAATCGTGGGATGGGGGCGATGGTGGCCAATATGAACAATAAGCCAAGCAGCTGTGGGCAGCCAGACGACAAGTGCTGCTGGGAAGCCAATGGTTGGGGTAATAAAGGTGGAGAGGCGTTTGCGTCTAATGTGTTCAACAGATAAAGCTCAAGGACGAAGGAGCGAGCGAGAGACAGTAAGAACATGAGTGAGTGAGGAAGAGAGACTTTTGTAGAGGAATATATGCTAGTCATGTATCGGACAGTGCTATGACTAATTTAATCATGTATTGGCACAATAAAACATTGGTGTGATATGGAGAAATAATATAAATTATGATCAAATTTGGATTTATCTGAGCAATAAAAAAAACTGAGTTAACTTTCAGAAACAAAGGTGCAAACACTGTCATTAATGTGGAAATTTTTGCATCAAACACTTCCATATATTTACCTTAAATGCACATATTAATACCTAAAATGTAAGGTGCAAACATGTACATTTGGTTACTTATCTAAATTAGTTCTAAATCAGTCTATATTTCTGAGAGTGTACTAAATTGTCTCAAGAAATTACAGGCTGTGAATTCTTTATTAATATTTTGTTCTATTTTTCAGTAAAAATTTCTAAAATAATACAAATATTATTAACAATATTAATTCATATTATAACATTTTTAATGATATTATTACTGCTGTTGTTAATTATAATTAAACTATAATATAATATAATATAATTCAATATAACATAATATAATTCAATATAATATAATATAATATAATATAATATAATGTAATATAATATAATATAATATAATATAATATAATATAATAATCTGCCCTCAAACCATATTGAAATTTTAAGATCATAAACCTAACTATATTTAATAATGTTCACACTTAAAATAATAAATATGCATTGTAAAAATTGTATATAAGCAAGCTAATCAAATTATACATTTTTACAATTTTTTTGTAAAAATACCTGAATAAAAAAATTATATTAACAATATTAATCAATATTATTGCATTTTTATTATAATATTGCTGCTGTTGTTAAATATATAGCTATAATATAATATAATATAATATAATATAATATAATATAATATAATTTAATATAATATAATATAATATAATATAATATAATATAATTTAATATAATATAATATAATATAATATAATATAATATAATATAATATAATATAATATAATATAATATAATATAATTGATAAGAAGTTATAAATTTGTATACAATGATATGCTTTTTTTCCAGACCATATTTATGACCATAAACCTAACAATTTTTAGTATGGTCCACACTTAATATAAGAAATAAATATACATTGTAAATATTGTATAATCATATATATATTGTATATAAGCAAGCTAATCAAATGATAAATTAGTAAATTGGTACATTAGTAACACTTTCTAAAATCAAGTGTTTATAAAAATAAAATGCATCCCGAGTAAATCTACATTTATGTTAAAAAAAGGATAAAATGGCTTAAATATAGCAGAGTGCTGTACTTCATATAATAGGTATATCAAAGTCAGGCTGCATCAAAGTCACTATAGTTTCCTGACCAAAAGAACCCCAATTAGAGTGAAACAAGCAGGGTTGGTCTCTTGTTCAGTCTCATAGTCTCTCTCCCTCTCACAGATTCAATCAAATCTCTCCTTGTTCTTAGCCACCAGTCAGAAACAGGGCTTTCTAAAGGGAACATGCGTGACAAAGCAAGATGCAGTAGTGCAGTTACACATGATATTATTGAGTACCATGCTGGAGCACTGCCTCAGTTTAGTATTTAAATGCATTTTAAGAGAACATTACAGAGAAGCACAGCAGGGAGATATCATAAATGTTGCACAATCCTCATAACATTTACAATACCTCCCTTCCGAATAAACCTGAGCTCCCTGTAATGTGATGTTCTGTAAGTTTGCTATAAAACGAGGCCCAATTAAACGTAACGAGAGGATGACTTTGGGTCTCCAGCAGGCCCAGTAAAATCTAGCGTTCCCTTTATAAGCTCTCGGCAGGTTTATCTGGCTCTTACTGTCCAGTGTGAACTCTACAACAAACTTGCTGCTGTCAACGGAGAAGTTGTGCTTCCAGCTGACGTTAGCATTGTCATTGTTAGCATCCACCGTCAGATTCCAGATCTTTACATTCGGGGCTATGCAGAACAGGTGGGAGAGGAGAGCACTCAGATATTTCATACAGACACTGGTTAGGATATATAAATATGCTTGAACTTAAAGACCCCATGAACTTTGGTATCTTTTAATTATTATTGATAGTGTTACGGACATAGGTGGAGTAAACATGTTTTAAAGTGTAATAAATAAAGCACACTATTATATATTTTCATGCTACTACTTACTATTTAAAAAAAAGTTTTTACTGACTAGTACCTTTTTTAAGAAACTAGTACCTCTACAAAATGCACATTAGAACATTTAACCTTTTTAAAAAATATTTATTGTGTTATTATTTAGCTTGTCCAATTTTGTATTTTATGTTTTGCTGTGTAACAATAATTCACTGTGGACAATAAAATTAGTGCACACATGTACTGATAAAAAAATCACAATAATAAAAAAACTAATCATTTTATTAGTTAGCTCAACTTAATTTTTTTCTAGTTGACCCAAATTAATTTTACTAGGTAGACCAACTTATTTTTTTCTAATTGCCCTAACCTTTTTTTCTAGGTAGCCCAGGTTAATTTTTCTAGTTGCTCCAACTTTTTTCTAGATTTCTCAATTTAATGTTCAAGTTACCCCAACTTAATTTGTCTTGTTCTTATAAATTATTTTTCTAGTTGCCCCAACTCAATTTGTTTAGTCCTCCAACTTACGCTTTTTATGTTCCCCAACTAAATTTTTCTAGTTGCACCAACATAATTTTCCTATGTACTTCAATTTCTTAAGTTGCTCCAACTTAATTTTTTAAGCCACAACTGAATTTTACTAGTTAACTCAACTTAATTTTTCTAATTACTCCAGTTTTACTAGTCAGCCCAACTTATTTTTCTAGTCTCTCCAACTGAATTTTACAAGTTAGCCCAATAATTTTTTTAGTTGTCCTAATTGAATTTTAATAGTTAGCCCAATTTATTTGACTAGTTACTCCAATTTTACTAGTTAGCCCAACTTAATTTTTCTAGTTGCTCAACCTAATTTTTTTTCTTGTTTTCTTGAAGATTGTATATTGCTGAGTCATTGTTCATTATTTGTTCATGTTATCTAATGTATTAACTAGCACATTGCTATTTGTATATTTACATTAACAAAGATTTAGTATAACTGAATAAATGTGTTGCTTATTGTTAGCAATAATTGTCATGCTATTTTATCCATTAACAAATACATTAGTGTTTGTGTAAGTAAAAATAAACTAATCAAACTGTTAATGCAAAGAAATACATATATGAGTAAATTAACATTGATTAATATGAGTAAATTAACATTAACAAAATCAAGTAATGCTTAACAGATGTGTTGTTCATTGTTAATTTGTGTTAACTAATGTATTAAATAACATTAACTAATACATTACTATTGTAAAATGTTACCTGATACTTTTTAAATATACCTGCCTTTCACATGCTATTTTCAATGTCTCTCTGGTTGGCAGAGAATCAAGTCACTGATTAAGTCAAATTACAACGTATGACAAAACAATGAAATTTTTATGGGGTCTTTAAATTACAAAATGTTAACAATATTTGCTCAAATGTGTGCTTTTAATTTCAACATTTTCTTCAGATTACCATTTTAATGCAACTAGGCTATTTGTTAAGCAACTGTCAATACTAATTGTGTGTAATTCGAGTGTTTTGGCACAGGGTGAACATCAATCATGGCTGAGTCGAACATACACAATACATGTCATCTACACAAGAAGATAAACTAATTTCATCTATTCATTATCTATACTGCGGGCTTTTTCAATACTGTTATCATTATCAGATACCCAGCATTTTCCAATCCACTGTTTTGGGAGGCACGGGCCGAACTGGAGCAACTGTGGTGGAAGCTGCTGTAGTAGTGGTGGTTGTTGTAGTAGTTGTGGTAGTTGTAGTAGTAGTAGAAGTTGTAGTAGTAGTAGTGGTGGTGGTGGTGGTGGTAGTAGGTTTGGTTGGAGCAGCAGTTGTAGGGACTGGTGGAGTTGGTTCTGGGGTGAATATTGTTGGGTTTGGGTCAGTGGAGGGGGGAAGGGGAGGAGGAGGAATTTCGAACATCAAGCCATCTGTAAAGTTAACGGCTGAGAGGAAGAACACAGAGGATCCAGAGGTTAAGCACAAGAGAGACACAAAGAGATGCGAGAAAAGACAGAAAAAGAATGAGTTAATTATATGGAATTCCCACAAATCCCCTTTTCCATGTATTGAATGGAAGAATCTGTTCTGAATGTAATATTGGGATACTGCATCTAATGGATTCCACCTGCCATTAATATTACGTACTGCAATTTGCAAATTGTAAAAAAAATAAAATACTACAGTTCAAATGTTCAGTGAGTATGATTTTCTGGAAATTAACTAGTTTATACATCAGACATAGTGAAGATATTGTAGTGTTAAAAAAAGATACTATTGGACTATATACATTTGATACATTTGTTTCCATATTATATAATTGTTTTCAACACTCATTCCTTCATTTTCCTTCAGCTAAATCCCTGATTTATCAGGAGTCACCACAGCAGAATGAACCGCCAACTACTCTGGCATGTTTTATGCAGCAGATGCCTGTTTTCATCATTGTTAATTAAAATTGTTTCTTAAGAATTTTATTAGATCAACAGTCATTGATTCATTCATTTTCTTCGCCTTAATCCCTTTATTCAGGGTTTCTGCAGATTTCATCATGTCAAATTTAAGACCCTTTTAAGACCATTATGAATGAAATTTTAGACTTATTCAGGGCTAAATACTAATGATTATTTCTATTGGCCTGGTTTGCCATAAAAATGTATTTCAAGAGTTTACACTTAGCTGATGATTTATCCTAAGCTTGTTTGGCATGTTGTCCCGGGAGAGAGAGCGAGAGAGAAGCTTGAGCTCAGGTAGATCTCAAAAACTCCATAGCTGAAGTGGCAAAGGTAAACTACTTTGGGATTGAAGGGAGCTAGACAAAGTGCCAGTTTTACTTGATCTGTTAAGCATTGTGCATATATTTGGATGGTAGGAGGAAACCGGAGAACCCAGGGGAAACCTACACGACACTAGGAGAACATACAAACTTCACACAGAAACACACACCAGCCTGGCGAGGACCAGGGCGGGCAGTGTTCTTGCTGTGGGGCTAACAGTGCAAACCACTGGGCCGCCGTGCCACCAAATCTATGAGAGAAAAGGAGGAGAAGACGGAGGATGGGGGTTTCTTCCAGACAAAGATAAATGTTGAATGAAGACTGTGGTTATTTATAGAAACTTAGGAATCATATGATTGGGGAATTATGATTTGCTAATGGGAGATCGGCTGTGGTAAATCATAAACACGTGATCCTCTCGAAATTAATTTATAAATAAACTTCAGTTCTTAATGACATACTTTAATGTGTCAAAATAAAATAAAGACTTAATTTGCAATTAAATAAACAATCAAAAATATATATTTGTTGGCTTTTGGTCCAAATTGTTAGAGTATAACTTCTATTCATTCTGTTTTAAAACCGTAAGTTTCATGCCTATTTATAAATATAATGTCTACTCCCCCTTATTTCTGTAAATAGTTTTGTTGAACAAATGTTTGAATGGAAGATAATGTAAAGGGATATATTGCTCTGTTATTATCACAAGGAACTGAGTAATTCTTTTTAGTTTTCTTTCCCTGATTATATTGAGATGGATTGTTGGTGATTGAATGGATGTCGGCCCGACTGGTTAGCTTTACCTAAACAGAGAAAAATTAGGACCTCTTTAAATTTATTTAACAATATTTCAGTGAATTTAGGACTTTTAAGGTCTTTTTAAGCCCTTGCGGACACCCTGTTCATCAGGGGTCACCACAGCAGTATGAACCGCCAACTACTCTTGTATATGTTTTATGCAGCAGATGCCTGTTTTCAACATTGTTAATAAGAGTTGTTTCTTAAATTTTTTATTTTATTAGATCAAAATATTGTAAGAATGATTTTTAAAGGACCATGAGCTGGAAAAATCTTGACTTGCATTATACAGAAATGTTAATTATTAAAATATACATTTCATTTTTTAAACAATTTATAATAATATTCAGTGTTACAGTTTTTTAATCTAAATTGGTAAAACAAGTGGAGATTATTTTTATTTCTCCAAAAATATCTGATAAACCATACTACCACCAAACCTTTGAACAGTAGTATACACACCATGCATAAAGTAAATAAGAATATATAAAAATATCAAGATGCAGTGCAGTATTAATGCATATCTAAATACCAGAAATTACATTTGCATTTTTCCGCATAGTTTTAGCTTGTATTGCTTTTCTAAAATATCTCCTGAAAAGGTGCAACAACTTTCTTTGTGATATTTGTGAGCGTGAATGCCATGTCTTAGAGGAAAACTGCAGAGGTTGTGTGGAGGGTATGCAAAAATTGATTGTTGTGCACCACCAAGGGGAAAAATAGGGTCACTACAATTCACTGAGCTAATGCAATTCTCACATGAACCAAATTGCAAAATGCTACAGTATTCTCAGATCTCTTGGCATTTTGAAACAAGTAAAAATATGAAATCATGAATATCTCCTTAAACATAACAAACAATAAACTTGCACTGCTGTCAACAGAAAAAGAGAAAATGTGTGGAAATCCATTAGAGCACAGTGGATATTATCGTACACCTTTTAAGCATTTTCCTTGAAACAAATGACAATTTACGAACTGACTCAATAATGAAAACTTTATAAGGGTCAAAGATGATATCAGGGGAGTTTCTAGCCCTTCATCAGTACTGGTACATAGAGGATATTTTATACTCTTTTAAGATACTGTTATAAATGTAAATAAACAGCATTTACAGTACTTGCAGAAGAGAGTCAATCAATTTTCACATATATTAAAAAGCTGCTTCTTCACTTTTTCTACATTTAAATTTCTACATTTAAAAAAAAATGTTCTGCTGGTTCAAACTATTTATTTAAAGTGGGCATATTTTTTGGGCACAACTTAATTGTTTTATGTTCAATCCACTTAAATTTGTTAAGTTAGCTTTATCGACTTGTGTTTGGACACCATTTAAAAATTACGTGGAATCCTGCATTTTTTACAGTGGAGGTAAATAAATGTCAACATAATGACTGTTATTGGGCCTTATAAATATATTTATTATTATTATTATGTATTTTTTTTTTATTATATATGAACTGTCTTAATAAATCCAATGACTTCGCAAATACAGTTTTTCTGAAACTCTGTTGAATAAAAATAAATAAATAAATAAATAAAAATAAATAAATAAAATAGTAAGATAAATCAATAAAAAGATATTATCAGATAATGGGGTAATCTTTATTGACATGCGAGGATGTATCAGCAATATTATACTGGGGTACATGTGTTCTATTTTGGTTTCTGCAACAATTTGTTTTGTATTAATAACATTTGTAATAAAGAAATGTGAAATAATTTTTAATCAGTTATTTGATCATTTTAATTATCATTTAGTGTAAAAACATATTCATGTAAACATGAAACAACATAGTTTTTCCGGCCTGCACCTATTGAAATATATTAAATAATAAGTGATCATAATAAATTGTGTATTTTTTTGTGTGTATAAAAATGTGTTCTTTGAAAAATATTGACACATAATAAAGATTTAAAATGCCAATTAATACAATTGTTTATCTTAAAATGATTCTTGTTCTAAATATGCCTATATTTTTAGGTTTCTAAATATTTGTCACACTATATGATATTTTACATAAAGTCTTCTCTTGTAATGGTAAAACTGCAGTTTTTCTTTACTCAGAAGAAAATAAACTTTGACAGGACACAATCCACTAAAACATATTTAAACACATTCAACTAAAACATATTTAATAGTTTTGATGCTTGAAAATCCCTTGTCGTATTTGACCCATAAGCAGTTTCCAAACTAAAAAGTGAAAGCAATTCATACTCCAGTATATCGGCAAGGATGAGACTGTTTACGCTTGGTGACAGAACATTTTGCCAGACCAAGACATGCTATGGATGTGAATCTTTAGCGCAGTGATGTGGGTTCAGATCAACACAGCCAATAAGCCAACAATTCAGTGCAATCTTACCTGTATTTCTCCATAAGACTGACACAAAATAATAAAAGAAATGAAGGTGGCACAAGCAGAAGCGGCGGCGTGCATTGCAAAAGCTGTATTTTCTGGTGAGCTGATTTCTTTTGAATAATTCAGCAGCACAACACTCACTATCTGCAGCTTTTCCTAATCTAATCTGACTTCCATGTATCATTGCTTGACACCTGGCTTTTATCCTTGTTAAAGCAACACGTAAACATCAATCAGTAGGAACACGCTAGAAAATAACCCATAATTACTGTACTAATCCACTTTGCTATGGATGAATCCTTATCCAAAAAGAATACCTCTATTAATAAGAGGTGACTACATGCATAAAAAACTGAATTACATATGTGTTGTAAGCTTGCACAGTGCAGTTTGCATGACTGAAAAGAAAAAAGTACTGCCAATTTGTAAGCCAGCTCTTGCATGTTCACAATATTAATTAACTATGAAAACAATGACAGATTTGATACTTTCAAGTATTTTTTCATAATTTTGTATAATTTGCATTCATTCAGAGGAAGTAGTAATGGCTTACTTAATTCAGCAAGTAAAACCCACAACAAACATGACCCTGAACCACAAAATCAGACTTGCATGGGTAGATGTTTGGAATAGCCCCAAATTACATTGTATAAATCAAAATTATGGATCATTATTTCATGTCAAAAATCACTATACTATTAAGTAAAGATCATCTTAAATCAAGACATTTTGTAAATGCTCCACAGTGTCAAAACTTCATTTTTGATTGGGTACAGTATAATATGCGATGATAAAAACTTTATTTGAACAACTTTAAAGATGATTTTCTCAGTATTTTGAGTTTTTGAAACCCTCAGACTCCAGATAATCAAATATCGTCATTTTATAACAAACCATGAGTCAATCAATATATAATAATAATAATTTGCCATCTATTTCCACCAGAGTAACTGAAATGTATTACTACCCAAACCTTTTAACTAGACAACAGTTTAACCATTTATACAGTAATAAAGTCATTTGGAGAAATTGGTGTCAACCACACAAACAACTGCTTAATAGTTTGGTAACACTTTGTTTTGATGGTCCATTTGAGTTTTAGTAGACTGTCTACTTAATATCTGTGAATACTGCTGCTAAACAGACATTTAACTGACTATAGGAAACTTTGCAAGTGTATGTCAACTTACACTATCCCTAACCCTAACCCCAACCTAACAGTCTACTTATGATCTAATGAGAATTAGTTGGCATGTAGATGCAATGTAACTTCAATTCAACAAATATAAAGTTCGAAATAAAATGTGACCAGTTGTTTGCCATAGCCATTTGCTTCTGTAATAGCATTCTCTTCACAAAACTAACAATACTTTTTAATTTTATTAATTCTTTACTATTTACCTTGCCTAACCTGAACATGATTCCTTCCCTTAAAGGCACAGTTCACCCAAAAATGATCTGTCATTTACTTTCCCTTCACTTTTTTTTTTAATAATTTTTTTAACCTTTAATGGATAGAATAGTGCAGAAAATTGACAGGAAATAGTTGGGAGCAGAGAGAGGGGAAGGGTCGGCAAAGAACCTCGAGCCAGGAATCAAACTCAGATCGCTGTGAGCACCATGGCGCTATATGTCGGCGAACTTAACCACTATAGGCTATTGGCACCGACTACTTTCCCTTCTCTTCTTCCAAAGCTTTGAGTTTATTTTTATTCTGTTGAAAGCAAACAGAGATATTTTGAAGAAAGTAAGCATTGACTTACACTGAAAAAATGTGTTTGCTGTTACTTATTTAAATTAGGCTAAAACAATTCTTGAGTTTTTTGAGGACAACTTAATTTTTTATTTTCAATCCCCTTAAATTTGTAAAAACCAATATGTTAACTTTATTCCTTCATGTTGTCTCAACATCAGTGTTGGGCACATTCATTTAAAAGAGTAAATATAGTTATTTCTCACAATTAGTGACACAATTAGTTAATAACCGAGTTGCATGATTATAAAAGAACTTATTACCAGGAAAAGTAACTATCGCGTTACATAAAAAAAAATCGAATGACTCTAAAATAAAAAACATTCTACACTAATCTACACTATTTTAATGTTGTTGTGGAACAATGTGAGAGACTACGGCAGCATGTCCTCAACTACAGTACATATCTAGATATTATTTTGTTTGATTCTGTCTGAGTAATAAGTGTTTGCGGTAGAGAAAAATTAAGTTTTATTTGCTTTAACGTCATGGCTTCATCTCCTTTTTGGTAGCAGATCTCACAGTATCACCTGCATAGCCACTAATTTGTGGGAGGATGCGGCGTATGAGGTGCTTCATTAGATTAGAATAACTTTTCATCGATGCAGAGAGACTCTTTTTTCATGGGCATAGGTTGCACAATACATAAATATTCTTGTCTTTCACCTCAACAAGGGAAAAGTGGTGCTAATGTTTCCAGTTAGGAAGCGATACCTTTGAACTTGTTGGATTTGCCATTGTTCTGACTCCAGGTGGTTGCTGTGTGCTTCAAACAGCTTTAGTGTTCTCAATTGTAATTACGCACATTTTACTGTCAGTAACGGTAATGGCGTTGTAACGGGGAAACAGTAATTTACAATTAATTACTCGTTACTGAAAAAAGCATCACCATTGTTCAGTAACACCATTTATTTACAGCGTTGTTATTCCCATCACTGCTCAACACAAATCAAATGTATGAAATCCAGCATTTTAGTGTAGTAGTGTTTTCCCTACTATAGACGTCAATGGTCACAGGTTAATTTTAATTTTATTATTTTATTTTATTTATTTATATTTATTTTATTTTAATTTATTTATTTTAATTATTTTTTCTTTTAATTAATTTTTTGTCTTCTTCTGTCTTTTTCTTTTCTTTTATGAGTGAGCTCATAAATGTTTATAACCATTTGTGGGTTAGTAAATAGTGAGTACATTTTCATTTTTGGGTGAACTATTTTTTTTAATACAAACTACAGTATCCAAGCATTGCCCCTAGAGGTCTCTGTTTCCCAAACCAGAACCACACCGTTTCATTCTGGCTAGATTTCAACCTAGACTGATGTCAACCCAAAATGATGAGAAGAGCATGCTGGGATATGCCAAGCAAGGCATGTGGTAGGAAGTGATGTCAGGGCTGAAGTAGCGAGGTGCCATCAGGGATTACGGGTCAATTGAATGAATCACATTGCATCGGAATCGCATATAAACTTATTTGTGTGTCGCTTAAGGTACAATATCATCATAGTAGCATCATAAAGAGATCAAACTGTAATCATCTAGACTGAGAGCAGATTCAGTGACTTCACAAAAGTGCGGAAGTGTAAGCCCATCCCTGAAAGCACACAGTGATATATGGATGAGAGCAGACAGACAACCAGACGGAGAGGGACAGGCATTAGACACAGTGCAGCTGAGCATGGTTTTTCATCAGAGAAAATAAGAAGATTTAAAGGTGAAGTGTGCAAATCATGAATTGGAGACAATGATCCCAAATTCTTATATTACTACTACTACTACTACAACTTCTACTACTATTACTATTACTACTTATACTACTATTTACCTACTGCCAGGGTCATTAATATCGGAGTTGATATTTAGCCACACCATGTTGGTGTTTTGTAATATTTATTTTTACGAGGTGAATTGTTAGCCCAACGCTCAACCCTTCTTCAGGCCACCTGGAAGACCTGAACATAAACAGATACACTTAAAACAATTTAGTTTACCCAATTCACCTATAGTACATGTCTTTGGACTTGGGGAAAAACAGAGCACGCAGAGGAAACCCAAGCAAACATAACAACAATTTTCTTCGACGTTGGACATTGACGTCGGCCTGATGCTGTGTTGTGACATCAATTTTCTCTTCCAAACTTAATTTAATGTTCCCAAGACATTGGGGTATGTTGGAATCTAACATCATGATAACATCACTAGACATTGATGTTTGGTTGTTTTTAGGTTGGGCGTTGGACTTTGATGTCGCCCTGGTGCTGTGTTCTGACATCAATTTTCATTTCCAAACTTAATGCTATATCCTTATGACGTTGGAGTATGTTGGAATCAGACGTCATAATAACATCATTAGACATTGATATTTAGTTGTTTTTAGGTTGGACGTTGGGCCTGACGCTGTGTTCTGACGTCAGTTTTCATTACCAAACTTTATGCAATTTTCCCACAATGCTGGGGTACGTTGAAATCTGATGTCATGATAATGTCCTGTGCCTGCTTGGATATTTTTTTTGAGATAGAAAATGTGTAAAATAAACTGTAAGAAATGTATGATTAATTACTTCTAAATTATGATGGCACAATTAGTAGAAAAATAAATGAAATATTAAAATCTGCTTGTAACTGATTTTGCAAATATTTTCCATACACAGGCTATTCAATAAAACAGGTGGCTTTTGGTCAACTTACACACTTCTCCTTTAATTAAAATGTTAATTTTATCGTTAATTAAAATCTGTTTACTTGAGTCTAGTATTTGGTCTACTTGAGCTTGGCTAGAAATCCAAAGTGCGGTAGTAAGTTTACATGCTCAGCTGCACTCTTAAGTATTTCGAAAACAAACATCCAGAATTGGACAAAAGAGGCTGACAGTAAGGCAGAAGCAGAGACAGACGGGCAGCCCGGCAGTCCATTCATTCCCCCATTACCTACAACTGTAGAGTCAGTATCTGGGGTGCCTTCAGTCAACACCACAGGAAAGACAGGAGGAGAAGAGGGCAGACAGGCAAGTCAGAGAAGACAAAGAAGAAATCCAGCAGTTAAGAGAGTTAAAGACACCACAGAGCATCAGGAAACAACAGTGTGAATGAGACGGACAAGTATTATTAGAAGGAGAGAGATTGACAGGGTGGAGCACAGACAGGAACACGCAATGATTCTGCTCTCAGATTCACTATAACAACTCACAGGAGACAAAAGACCTGCTTGCTAACCTTCATTGGTGAAGTGTGGAGACTCGACAGCGTACACTTCTCCTGCTCCGACCTGCGTACGGGCTGCTAGGAAGAACTTGAAGCGCGTGAAGCGGTGAGGCAGATTCATGACGTACTCCGTCACATTGGGTGGGAAACTCTGGACTTTCCTCTCTCCCGCCTGTGTCCCGTTCACTGGAAGAGCAAAAACACAACAAAATGAAGACGTGTTCTTTTGTGGACAAGAATAGTAACAGAAAATTAACTGTTTGAAAGAAAATATGAAAATAAGAGAATAAGAGTATGCAAAACTCTCAGCTTAACTTTTCTAATAGTTTGCTAGTGTATGTAGCATATTTCTAACCATTTGCTAACATGTCGTAAATGCTAAATGTATGTAGCATTTTTCAAATAGATTGCTAGCATGTTCTGAGTGCATACATGTTTAGAATGTTTTTTTTGGGTGTTCTGAGTAAATGTAGCATGTTTCTTAAGTTTTGCTAATGTGTTCTTAGTGCACACAGCATGTTTCTACTCTCTTACCAGGGTGTTATTAACATGTGGCTACAACATGTCTACATCTGTCTGAAAGCATGTTCTAAATACACATATCAGCTGTTTCTCAATTCCAAGAACGCAGAGAACAGACTTGTGTTCTTGTGAAGACAGGTCTTGCCAGGTGTGATGCTGCGTTCTTCCTGATGGTCACGTGACCTTCACATGTTTTTTAATGGTTAATAATTTAAACATTACAGCATTCAAACAACGACTTATTGTTTTTCCCCTTTTCAATATATATACTATGCATAAAGACTTTACAAATATACATTGTACAATATAAATAAAAACAGATTTCAATACGAATTTCAGCAAACAAACATCCTTAATGTGTTTATTCCTTTATTAAGATGTCTATGGTAATGTTTACTTTCACCGTTTCATTTAGGGAAACTCCTGACTGAGGTAAATAAGTGATATCTCTGAACTTATATAAAAAATCTAAAGGAAATGCTGTGCTTCCCATCTCTAGTCGCAATGACTTCTGGGACTTCTAGCGTGAGTTCAATGCTCAAGTCTGCATCGGTGCGTCCTCCATATCAAGAACACATCCGGGAACTTTCACGCGTCCTCCGTACTTGCGTCTTGCGTATTGGAACTGAGCTTTGGCAGCTGATGATGACGTTACACGAGGACACGAGGACGCAAGACCAATGAAGAACGCATATTGAGAAACAGCCATCATCTTTAAAACTGTTAACTAGCATGTTCTGAGTGCACATAACATGCTAATAATAATTTGCTAGCAAGTTCTGAGTGCATGTAGTATGTTCATAATGATTTGTTTAGGTGTTTTAATTTGCTTAAGGTGTAAATTTAGCATGTTTCTTAATGTTTGCTAACGTGTTCTGAGTGCACACAGCATGTTTCTAGTCCCTTAAAATTATGTTATTAACATAGCTACATTTCTACATCTGTTTGCTAGCATGTTCTAAATACACATAACATCTTTATAACTGTTCACTAGCATGTTCTGAGTGCACTTAACATGCTAATAATAATTTGCAATTTGCAAGCATGTTTCTTAATGTTGGCTAATGTGTTCTGAGTGCACACAGGATGTTTCTAATCCCTTACAAGGATGTTATTAACATGTAGCTACAACATTACTAAATACACATAGTATGTTTATAACTGTTCACTAGCATGTTCTGAGTGCACATAACATACTAATAATAATTTTCTAGAAGGTTTTGAGTACATGTATTGTTTCTAATCATTTGTAAGCATATGTTGAGTTCATGTAACATGTTTCTAATCGTTTGCTTAAGAATTCTGAGTGCATATAGCATTATTATAATTTTTTTCATCATGTTCTGGCTTTCTGAGTGTATTTGGGAAGGTGAGCTTACCTGTGTGGTACTGGAGTGTGTATCCAATCAGGACACCGTTTGGCTCCAGTGGTTTGTCCCACTTCAGGTGAACCACGTCCGTGTGTCTTAGAATCCTAAAGTATTTTGGAGCCCCTGGCTCTGTGAGAGATCATAACAACTATTCATATTTTGCTTTTTGTTACAAACAGCACATATTTAATAAGTCATCATTCTACAACATTACAGCAGCGTATGACAAATCATACCTCCCTCCTTGGTGTAAAACTCCACAGTATTGCTTTGCGGCCCTTCATGTTCTCGGTTAGCAACCACCATATACATCTTATATTTGCTGTATGGATAGAGCTCTGTCAGGATGCCAGAGGGATGTTCTGCTGTGGTAAAGAATCCCTTATGCAACTTTGTCTTATTTACTTTCAGGCCCTTTATGAGGCTGGCCTCCCGCCAGTAGTACAACTGAGAATATGATGAAAAGAGATGTCAATTAGCAATCCTAGCAATTTTAATAGACAATGTAATCATAAGGTACATTATGTGAATATCTGCAAGAACACATTTGCACTACATTTTTGCACTAATGCGTATTAATGCATGGTTGGTGAACGAGATGTTTCTATCTGTTTTTGTGTCTGGCAGATATAAGATCACTCACCTTGTATTCTTTAAATTCTCCATTTACACTGCTCTGCTCCACAGGCTCCCAGTGAATATTGACTTTGGTACTGTTGATCTTTGACACCCTAAGATCTGTTGGTGCAGCGGATGGTTCTGATGGGGAAAAATATTAGTAGTAGCAAATGAAGCAGCAAAAACACACCAATATCTGTGAATGACAAAGCAGGTCCCAATTTACTCCCAGCCAAGCTCTTTTTCATTGTTTAGAGGTAAAATGTCTGAGCTGTGAGAAAACAGCAGTTAAGAAAGCATCTGATATAGAAATGTGGATATCTCTACAATTCCACACTCCAGCTAAGTCACATCATGTTTATTTACAAAGCGTAAAAACAGCGCTAACAATTAGATGTCTACTTGTTTTCTGTAAAGCCTTTCCCTGGTGTGTTCTTTAAGTATATTTGGGCCTCAAGTGTCATTAAAGATGACATGATAGTACTTACTGTCTTCCCCAGAATAACCGATGACCATGTTTGACTCTGGGCCATGTCCAAAGTCATTGACAGCCTGTATTTTGATCTCATAAGGAACGTAGGTGTCTGTATTATGGACAACGTGTTTTGTTTTGGCTGTGGTGATGTTATTCCACTCTTCTTCTGTGTCTTTTCTTCTCCAGGAGAGCACATATCGCAGGTTTGGCCCATTCCTCTCTGTGTTCTGCATGGCCTGTGACATGTAACGGTAAATTAAGTCAATGAAAGTCACATCTATCTCCTTTTTCTTCTTAAAATTGGCCATTCACTTTACCTGCCATGTGATCTCCATGTTGTTTTTTTTGCTTCCCCACCCTTTAAGTCCACTTGGTACAACATCAGGAGCTAAATCAGATAAATTTATATCAGTAAATGTCTCAACTGGTAATTTTGACTACTAATACTAGTCAATATACACAATATAAGCAATGTCTTACAGGCTCCGCTGGTCTGATAACGTGCAGAGGGGTGGCTGGGTTGACTCTGACCCACAGCATTGATCGCAATCACTCTGAACTGGTAGTTGACGAATGGTGATAGCTGAAGGTTAACTGAGTTTAGGTTCCAATCATAAATTGACAGGTTCTGCCACTTCCCTGGCTCCCACCTGTCCTCTTCAAACTGGACTAGGAAATCTGCAGTAGTGCAGGAAAAAAGACAGTGAGGATTATACAGGGTTTTTGCAGATTTCACCAGGCTTTTACAAGGATTTTTATAATGGAAAAGTGAAAAGATCTTTACTTGCTCTATCAAAAATTTTTTTTAAATTTCTTAGCCATACATTTTTTTAAATAATGAGTGAAAATAAGCAAACTCTAGTTGTATACATAGACATTTTTTTCAACATAACGTTTCTTTTGTGATTTAATTGAATTTTATTTGACAGATTTTAAACAAACTGTATAAAAGACAAGTATCCCATACATTTTGACAAAATTTTCAAGGATAAAAACACAATACAGCCCTGGGCTTGTTTGCATTGTGGTCCTCGCTGTTAATAAACAAAGTATGGCTGCAAAGTACAGTTAATGGATAAAACAAAATGTACCTCTACGTTTTAAAACAAAAACTAAAATAAAATATAAAAATCATTATCATCCACCCTGCAAACTAACTGTCATCATCAAGCAACCATCTTTTGACCACTTTTTTGAACGCTTTAAGTCTTTTATTTCCTTGATTGGTTTTGGTAATTTGTTCCACATGATTGCACTGGTGTAGAAAAACATGTTTCCCTGCTAAACTTCTAAACTTAAATAAACAAATATTAAAATCCCAATCCAGCGAGGCGGTGGCGCAGTAGGTAGTGCTGTCGCCTCATAGCAAAAAGAGTCAGACTTCACTGGTTTAACCTTGGCTGGGTCAGTTAGCGTTTTTGTGTGGAGTTTGCATGTTCTCCCCGCGTTCGTGTGGGTTTCCTCGGGTGCACCGGTTTCCCCCACAAGTCCAAAAACATGTGGTGCAGGTGAATTGGGTAAGCTAAATTGTCCATAGTGTATGTGTGTAAATGAGTGTGTATGGATGTTTCCCAGTGATAGATTGCAGCTGGAAGGGCACCCTCTTTTTTAAAGGGCATCAGGTTTTTTTTTTTTTTAATTCAAGACAATGAAAGACTTTTTAAGACCCTGCCAGACACCCTGGTTATTATACCTGATCATTTAAAAATAATATGAATGTAAGGAATAAATATTGTAAATATTGATTTTTACATTTTTAGTCATAGTATATCAAACTTTAAATAATTGCCTTAAATCATTGTAAAAAAGAATCAAGTTACTGAAATTTTATTAATCAGAAAAATTTTGCATACCATGAATGAAGCAAATATGTTTAAAATAACAAATTGGCACTTCCTGCGAAAATGTAACCAATAACTAGACAGCCTTTGAAAACAGATTTTTCAGGACCACACTCGAAACCAAGGAGTGCGAAAACTTTCCATAATGCACCACCTACAATGGCAGCATGGCTGCACATGGCAGTAAGGAGATGTACAGATTGGTATTTTTTGTCATTATTACAAATTTTGTAATGTTTTATTATATTCATAACCGCATGACACTCGAATACCCGGTCAGAAAAGTCTAGTGGCTGGGAATGACCTTTTGACAGTGTCTGGTATAATGTTAATGTTGTCTTTGTGTGTTTACAAAGATGAATATGGCCAGGGTGTAAATGCACAGTACAGTTCATCTTATTACCACATTTTATCGCTATGATATTATGATAGCACTGTCTTCACTAATTTCCAAAAGATAAATACCAAAAAATAAAGCAACTGGAATAACTACAGTAGTCGCCATCGTTGATCTCATATGAAGCAAGAGATCGCGATGACATATGATGACGTGTGCATGTATTGTAGTGGTGTCCCATTTCTTAGGGGTAAATTTTGAAGGGCATTCCCCTTCCCCTTCCCCTTCCCCTTGGCCCTTGAAACAGAGTGTGAGGGCTTCAAAATTAGGGGTTCAAAAATAGAATTGGACCTAAGTTCTTTACTTAGGAAAACTTGGATTTTTCCTTTTCTTGGGTTCTTTACTCACGTGTAACAGGACTGTTGTTTTCATTTCCGGGCACCCAGGTGAGTCTGACACTGCGTGCTGAAGGGTCAGAGAGTTCCAGATCCTGAGGTGGGTCGGGTCGACCTGTGGAGAACAGAACAACCCCATTAACTTGAAGCGCTAATAATTCTCAGAAGTTCGCAATAAGAACACAAAATAGAGAATAGAGACTGACTGTTAGAGGCTTTAAATGAACATTAGAAAGAACCATCCTAGATATGTTACCTGCAGAGGCACTACGATTTGAAGCAGACGAGCTGTCATTCTCTACGAGGTAAAGGTCAAAGGTCAGAGGTCAAGGGTTAGTTTGACTATTAGTAGATAAGTGTAATAAGAGACAAACACTATACAGTAGTTATAAAAGAAGGCACAGAAATACACTATTCAAGCAAAGAATTAAAAAAACATGCTATGTTTTGTAAAAGGGAGTGTATTTTTGGTGTTAATTTAAAGTGGAATCGATCTAGTAGCTGCACATGTAAATAAACAGTGTTTAGGGAGTGTTTGGATATGGTTCATGTACTATTTGACATGTCCATATCCACTTAGTATCTATTATCAAGTCAGTTTGAAGCAATTAGCAACATGGGAAGGGTCCATAAAGACACATCTATTGTACATCTACATCTATTGTGAGGTGTGTGTGTGAAAGTGTGTGTACCTGTAACAGTAAGGCGAGCTGAGGCAGTGTCCTCGTCTATCTCAGTTTTGGCTGTGCATGTGTAGGTTCCTCCATCGTCTGGATTGACATTGTAAATAGTCAAGGACTCATCATCCTTTTTCAACCGGCCACTAAAACATTCAGGAATTAGACGTCATGTACATTGTATCAGCTTTTTTTGATTAGATATTTCATTCTTAAAAAAGGTAACTAATTTTTTTTTTTTTTTAGAAAGGATGCATTACATTGAATAAATACAGTTCATCAATATTTTAATATTGCTAATATTCTTATAGAATATTTTGTTCTCAGGCACATTTTACCAATTCAACATCAATATACAGTATATCGTAATAGATTAATAATAATACAATTATAATTTTAATACATCAATTTTGTACTTTCTATAGTAATACATCCGCATTTATACATTAACATATACATATATATATATATATATATATATATATATATATATAATTTTGAGGCCATTTTACATATACAAAAAACTTGTTTAATTATTATACACATCTGAATGTAAAACATTATATTACATTGTATTAATTTTATTTCTGCGATGATGACTGCAATATTTTCAAAATATTATTTGTTTACAATATAAACACCAAGGCTTGTAACCACTTGAAGAGGAGAAATAATAAAATAAATTGTAAATTATAATAATAATAAATTCATAAAAGTGAATTTGTGATAATAAGCAGATAAACAGTGTGAGTGCATCATAGATAGTGTGAGTGTATCATAGATATAATGATATGTGTCATTACATCCAGCTAAAGCTCAGAGGCTTTTCATCTTTCAGCCATGTGACTGTAGCAGGAAGGGAAGGATCATGTTTAACTCGACAGTCGAATCGAACTGTGGTTCCTCTGGGTTCCGTCTTATGTTCAGGTGCGCGGACTATTCTTGTGGGCTCTGAAATGGATCACAACAATCATATAGGAAACCAAAGCGTTCATAATTTCACACAGAGGCAACAAGATATTTTTTCTTAGAGTCTCACCTTTAACCTCTAGGCGCACTTGATTCTCCATCTTGCCCAGAATGTTGCTGGCGACGCAGGTGTAGGTGCCCTGGTCTTCTGTCCGGGCCTGCTTGATCTCCAAAGTGCCATTGTGGTATAGCCTGTAGTGACCACCATCCAAACCACTGCCAAGTCCGTTCTTAAACCTGAACACATAAATAATAAAAGTCTAATTTAGCAGAATTTTGATTTATGCATTAAAGTGTGTTCTGTTTAAACAAAACATTAAAGGTGCAGTATGTAAGTCTGACACCTAGTGGTTGAACTAGGTATTTCATTCCTGGATCAAAACAAATGCAGGTTGCCATATTGAGGACCAACAGGAGCAAGCCTGGCTCTCGAGCCTAAAGACTAATTGAAGGCTGATTTTGATCGTGTTTGATATAAAAGCAACAGCACACGATAGAAGGAATATTTTCCATATTAAAAGGAGTTTTTGTTCCAACCAACTATCGAATTGATATATAAGAAACGGCTTCTATTTCTTGCAGCTGAACAACAGAAAACTTGTGCTATATTCAGTGTTAAATGTTAACATGTGAGGTTTTACATGACATTTATTGCCATACTACTGAAAGCAGCAGCAGATAGTACACCTCAGATCTTGAAAATAAAATAAACCATTTAAAATTGAATTTAGAACTGTGAAATAATGCAAACCAACACATAGCAGTGATTCAGCATCTACATTTAATCATGTTAAAGAGGTCTAATATGCATTAAATATTAAAAGAATTAAAAGAATTCTGTGTTTCTGAATTTAAATGCTTTATTTAAATTTCTGTCGTGTTTTGTCTGGTGCAAACAGCCAAATTATCACTGCAAATCTTCTCACATAGCATGTTGTTAGGATGTAACCTGCCCACCCAATGTTTACGTTCATAATATTTATGTATTTGCTAATTAATAACCTCATGTGCAACTCTGAATCTGTCCCATTTCGGAGTCTGCTACTGTCCACTGGAGGTTGCATTTCGGTCAGGGACACATGCTTTCAGGGCCTTTCTGACTGAATGAATGTAATACATGGTTTTCCAGAAAGGCAACACGGGGTGCTGGAATATAATTGGCTAAAGTGGCATTGGGCGGATAAAAAAACAAAACAAAAAACAAAGACAGTCGTTCCAGCACATTACAGACATTTTCAAAGCAGAACATCTGACTTCAGCATTATTTTTCAGATAAACAAGAATGTTCACTTAGCATGTTTCCTAAATATCTGCAACCATATTATGGTATTTTTATGCTTTAGAGGAGTCAAAAACTTACATACCGCACCTTTATTAGATCTGTAACGGTAGTTTTTACATTTATTTTACATTTTAAACATTTTAAACTCCTTTTTTATTTTAAATAAATAATTTACTTTTTTTCTGTATGACTTTCGTTCAACCTACTATTTTTTACCCTTTTCTCAGGAATATAATTCAAGTAGTTAATATAATATAATTCAACTATTAATTAATATTTTTAATAAGCACAGGTCACAAAAAAGTTACTGGAAACATAGAAGATTTTTTTTCTACATTAAGTACAGAAAAGAACATTTAATTTGAGGCAAACACCAATTCTTTAAAATACAGTATAATATAATTTAACATTGGAAGGAAAATTATTTCATAATTTTTTGTGTAACATATTTAGGGTAAAATTAAAACAACACACTCTGACTTATACTTATGAAACTATTTATACTAATAAGTGATCATATTTATCGTTTGAAAAAGTGTGAAACTGCTGTGGGGGAAAAAGACTTTTTTTTGTTTATATTTTTTATTAAAAATATGTTTAGACTAACAACAGATTAATCAATCTTTTTCTTTTGTACGCCACCATATATAAACTAAACATACTTCTTCTTTCTTACTGTGTTGCATACTTCTTAGAAAGAACTGCTGACAAGAGGGAAATAGCAGAATAAGAATAAATATAGTGCTGGAGGGCTTGCTCCAGACATCTGTCTAACAAGAAGTCTAGACATGTCACAAGTTATGAAATATATTGAAGATGCACTTAACTGTTCAGTTCTGGTATGCAAAGAAAGGTTGCAGAAAGCGGAAGTAGGTTTGGGTGGAACAGCCAATGGACTGCAGAATGACTAATAAGTGACGTTACACCAAAATTCCACCTGTTAATTTCAGTTGTGTATATATGCTGGAGTCAGAGAAATGTAGGTTAGTTGCGAACCTCCTGAATGTAATTCTTGTATTGAATTGGGGTAACGTAACCCAGAGCTCTGTCCTCTAACTATTCATTTGTATTTAATAAATTACTAATATTTTTGACATTGAAGAAAACTCTCCCCTGAATTTTATTTAACACGCATGGAATTGGCTGGATATTCCAACAGTGTTTGAAAAATTTAGTGTTAATATATAAAATGAGAAAAAAAAATACCGTATATGTTTTGGGTCTGCACTATAATCCTTTATTTGAGTGTTAACGTTATCAAATGATTCTTGTTATAAATATGCCTAAATATGAGCCAAAAGCAAAGGCTGACATCAATTCATCACAGCTATAAGCAACATTTTAAAATATATCAAAATAGGAATAATTTATTTTTAATTGTAACAATATGTTACAATATTACAGTGGGTTTTACAGCATTTTGATCAAATATTTACCCTTTGTGAACAAGTACTGTTTACAACAATTTAACATAAACTTACCAGCGAAGTAAAGGGAGCGGTGAGCCAAAGAAAGGACACTCGAGGAAGGTCCTGTTGTTTTCAATGACTTTGATCAGCTGGTTTTTCGGGCCAAGCATCCGCGGTGCCATATCTAGGGAAAAAAACAGCAACACCAACATCTCACAATTTGCGCACCATGTGAGCTATATGGACATTCTGCACCAATTCGCTTCATCCTGTCATACCCAAAACACTGACGAAAGCATTTGCCAGAAGATAACCGTGCTCATTGGAGGCGTTACACTGGTAAACTGCACTGCTTTCAAACTGAACCGTCTCAAATATGATCGTGTCATCAAGAACTCTCCGATTGGGGTTGGGGAGTGAACCTGAAGTTACACACACAAACACACACACACACACACACACACACACAAAATATACACTTTGTTGCTTATGATTTAAAACTCTAAATCTGTTCAAACATGACAAGCAAAAGCTGACTGACTTTCAATGGGTTCTCCATTCACCAGCCATTGAATAGTGGGTTTGGGACTCCCGTTAGCACGGCACACTAACCGTCCACTCTCATCAGGGGCAAGAACCAGATTGATGGGCTTTTCGAGCCAAAATGGAGCAGCTGTGGATGGAATTTAGGACAGTGGAATACATGAAGCAGTTTTTTCAGACATAATGGGCATCAATTGCCTTTTCTCGATTGCTCACCTTTGACCTGGACTTCAACTGTGTGGCGAATGCTGCCAATTCTGTTGCTGGCCATGCAGGTGTAGCTGCCAATGTCTTCCTCAGACACATTGAGAATGCGTAAGGTTTTATCGAAGTTCCCAATCCTGACTTTTTTCGTTGGCAGGTCTCCTCCTCTTTTGGACCAGGTAATGGTAGGAGTTGGTCTGAGGAACGAGTTGAAGAAACAAAACAGATTTATTTCATTGACAAATTACTTTAGTACCTTAATACACTGCGCATTTGGGAAATGAATATGTGGATGAACCAGTGTTTTGATAGGTTTTTTAAAGTTGAAATTAAGGTAATATAAATACAAATACTGTATTGTTTTAATGGAGACTAACACTAAACGGATCATTTGCATTTTTGAATCTGATTTAACAAAATAAGCTTATTCACAATTTGAACACCATTATTGTGTTTCTGAGCAGGTGACAATTTCTCCAATTTAAAATCGACTGCTTTTATGAAGTGTAGTGAAGTCAAATATTCAAAAGTGAAAAATAGTTAAAAGCCATAAAAAAACTTAAAAAGCAGCTTTGTATTGATGCTTTCTTTTTAAGGATTAAATGCTTTAATATTATTTTTGTGCTTTTTCTCATTAAAAGTTAAAGACAATTAAAATAAATGTGTATTAATTTTAAATATAATATCAAATAGAACCGTTTTTATAGTACTAAAAAACACTTACACTCCAGCTGCTATACACTCCAGGAGAAGTTCTTCTCCTCTGAGCACCATCTTGGTGCTGGACAAGCCCGTTGGAGATAGAAAGGTGGGCTGGGTTTCCGGTATATTACGCACTGTGGAAAAAAAGAAAAAACGTATTAACATACAAAAAAAGAGGCAAAAATGCTTGAGGTGGGAGAATACGCCAATGTATATATCCTATAATTATTTTATGGATTAATTTTAGATTCAGCTTGTAATTGCACAATATATATTTATTAGTGTGTTGAAATATATGGATGTATATTTCTGCACTTAAATGAAAAAAATATAATGAGATAAAATACAAGTTAATATATTAAGATATAAATTAAATAAATAATGTCAGAATTACATTTTTGCTTTCACTGTTTTACTCAGAGATGGAAATAGGCTTCCATATACAGTAAAACAATAATTTTGTGTCTCACATGAAAAAAAAAATTTATTTATTTTATTTAAAGGACTAATTACTATTTTAATCAGTGATTTCTTTTTATAAAAAAGAATTGAAGAAAATAAAATGTCTAATTAACGTTACACCAAATTAAAAGCTACACATTTTAAAATTGAGTTTAACAAATATTTTATTTGTTTTTATTTATTTGTTATTATAATATTTTAGAATATAATATTCTATTTTATAAATATATACTTTACACTACAGTTCAATAGCTTTTGCATTTTTATGATTATAAATACACTAAAATAGTAATAATGATAAAAAATAATAATACAAATGAATATAACCATTCAACATACTATTACTGAACAAATAAGTAACTATTATTAAAGTGTTAATTTAAAAATTATATATTCCTTTGATTCAAAGCTGAATTTTCAGCATCTAGTCTTCAGAAATCTTTGACTCTCATATAGTAATGTCTTGACTGAAACTGAATGCATAATTTCTGCATAAAAAAATATCCTACTGATCTGAAACTTCTGAATAATAGATCTGACCAGGCTATTTCAAACAAACTTAAAAAAAAAAAAAAACAGTAAATCGCTGTTGTTGTTAATGCTGTTGTATTTCTCTATCATCAAACTCCACCATTATACTGTACCTCTATAATCATTTGAATTCTGTATGCATAAATAACACAAGCATAAAAGAGAATCATAAAGCTGTGAGGACAGACAGATGGTTAGTTGTGGACAAAAAAACCTGGTTATGTGAAGACATAGACAATCTTCTCCCTGAGGAAGACTTGATGAGCAGGGCAGTATTAGTCTCTATTGTAATGTATATCTAGCAGTAAGATTAGCTGTGAGCCATTAGCATTGGAGAGGGACTGACAACAGCCTTTGTTGGTGACATTAGTGGGAGGACGAAGCCTGAGAGATTTGTCTGTGAACACATGTTTCATGCCATTGTCACGTGTGTCTGTGGCGACAGCGATGTCTGTTCACTGACAGAGGGAACCCACAATGCTATACGTTTGAGACAGGAACTAAAAGGGCTATATGCACAGCTATTGTTTTTCAGCCAATGATAAACTTCTGGTGAAAGGATCTTGTGACTATTTTCAATTTCATAAGGTTCCTTTTACATTCAGTTAAATAGACTTAAGCATCCATTTGGTTGTTAAAGCGTAAAAAGAGATGAAAGACCAGGCACCATCATTAGCAGCAGGCTAGCACAAAAACTACAGGAGTAAAATAAATGTTCATATTTTAAAGACGTGGGGTGGAAAAATAGCATTTACTGCAGTGCTTCTGGTTTGGTCTGATACCAACTTTATATCGAATCTCAGCCAGGCAATAAAGATTGTTGTTTTTTTAAAGAAATCAGATCTTAAACATGGCGATTCTGTATGGAATAATAATTCACCGGAAGCCCTGGGGCTGGCAGACTGAAGTTAAAAGCCCATGTGCATATACCCTGTTGAACCCTGGTCCTCACAATATTGTCAAAATGACTATCAATGAATATTAAAACTTAGATGAATCTCAAAAAGTCTATTAAGAACATGTCTGGGACATATTTAACCCCAATTTCACTTAATAAAATATGTATATTGTATACTTTGTTCATATTTATACTATATATTATGTACTATGGATAATATATGTGTGTGTGTGTGTGTGTGTGTGTGTGTGTGTGTGTGTGTGTGTGTGTGTGTGTGTGTGTGTGTGTGTGTGTGTGTTTATACATGTACTGAAAATACATTAATCAAGAAATGTGATGTTTGGGGTACTATATAATAGATTTAATATAATATAATATAATAGATTTTTTAACACATAATATATAACATATTTTTATGTTGATTTTTCAGTTTATGAAACGCATTTTAAATATGAAAAATTAAATTCAGGGTCATTATATTTTAAAATATTATAATATTATTGTTTATATTATATATTATTATTATTATTTTACAGTTTTTTGCTTGTGTACTTGATGGTAAGTGTGGGTTTTTTTTTGTGTTGAGTGTGTCATTCTTGATATATGTGAAGCACCACTATGTCAGAATGAATTGCCCCAAGATCGTTAATAAAGCTTTAAACTGCACTATATTATATAACGTTTATAAATATAGTTGTGGCGAGTGAGGTGGGGCAGAGAGCCGTGAAGGCGGGTTGCGTGAGTGAGATAATCAGAGACCTGGACGCATCACCTGCCTCAAGTCTCACGGAGTAGCCCTGGAAGCTAAAAGGAGGAGAGATGCCAGTGCTAGATGAGAGAGGACCGGGCCCTTACATATTATGTGATGGTTGCTTCAGTTTGAAGGCAGCCTCCGTGAGGACCTGCCATTCTTTTGTTTTATATTTTTATTCAAAATTATTTAAAAGTTCTCTGCCTCCTTCCCAATGACCAGGCAGCTATCTAACTTCATAACAATGAATAATTGTATAAATTATTCAACCACTATTTTCAGTAAAAAACGTCATAAAATTGTATTAAAAATGTTTTTAAATTATATATTTATTTAATTCTTTAAAGGTCTAAAAACCCTTTAAAACAATTCTAGAAATTTGCTCTAAGTGACAACACTGGTATTTAAATTTAGAACAGTTGACAGTAGTTTGATCAAACACACTACTATAAATCTGTAATTCCACTTTTTAAGTGGTTTCTTAATTTCTTCTATTGCTACTTGTACACAATAACTAACAACTGAATGAATACATAATTAATTCCCCCTTTTCTCATTTGTTTTTTAGAAAGAATTGTGATCCAGACTTGTTTTTGACAGGGTTCGTAATTTACAAATTTTCGTCATATGTTCAGTATCTCCCGTAGGCCATATCCTTGGATACATGTGTGCGGATTTGCACATGGTCATCATTGGATTAAAGTTACTGAAATATTAATGAGCACCTCTAGCCTCTTGCCTAATCTCCGTTCTTCATTTTTTATATCTCCGTAATGAGCAGCGTGATTAGGATAATTAAGCACTTACCACAGAAATCGGAATTCTTGCCCTTCAAACTACAACACAGTTTAGCTGACCCCAAAAACTGCTTAGACAGTGACTGTATATAAAAAAACATAAGCTTTACTACATTCTATAAACAAAACATGGAACGTCTTTTGACATCTTTTTACACTGTGTATTATATAACACATTTTCTCCACTGTAAGCTGTTAGAGACAGGAATGCTAACTCAGTTAGTGTTGTATTACAGAAGATAGCACGCTAGCTTTGTTGAACTCACCACCATACACATCAGTTGAGTTGAGAAAGGTGTCATTATAAGGTTCTTCTGTGAATAAAGTTGCAGTTTCATCAACATACACATGCTGAAAAAAGTAATACACTAGATAATAATGATTCAAACTGTGGAACTGTGATAGTGAGTCTTCAAATAAAACAAAAAAGACTACTATCACAAATAATGCACTGCTACATCCTCACCACTAGATGGACCACACTATTCATAGATACCATAGCCTACCATGGACAGCAGCTCAGAAACAAGTAACATCCAATTAAAGATAACAAGAGATCCAGGCTGCTTCCAAAAGCTGATTTCATTCTGAGGCAACATAGTGGTTTAATGATCCACAACAAAACATAGAGAACGTTGGTGGGATCAAAGCAAAAATTTTATCACTACAATATTAGTTTCTTGCAAGAAATAACCTTAAAATAGAAAAAGTTGGTGCAAAAAAGTTAATTTAGTCACTGACTGACCACCATGGATGTCAGTGGCTATATGACCACCAACCGCTACTAAATTAAATGCACAGGATTATGGAAATCATTAGACTGAGAAGGGAACATCTACTGTATGCCTTCTAAACGTATTCAGCTTAATGGATCCCAGAAGACAGAATGTAAAACATCACTGGAACTTAAAATGCCTTGTTAAGTTCCTATCTCTGAAGGCTACTGTACCTATGGAGGAAGTATTTACCAGCTTTTGCAAGGCCTGTTAGCCTATTGGACAATGACTTTGCAGGCAGATTCTATGCACAAAAGCAGCTCACAGAACTGATTTTGTACAGACTTCTGAAGTAGAATAATATTTTATTGAGTTTTTAAAAAAATAAAGAGAGCTTTTGAAAGAACGAAACTTAGAAATGACATCAAAACATTTTTATAGAGTATGTAAAAAAAGACAATCAGCTACAACTTTCTGATCTCATCTGTGCTACTTTCAAAAACTGATGAATTTATGTTTTTTCTGATTTTTTTTTCTCTGTAATAGATACTGCCTTTTAAAAAGTACATTTATTCAGATTTTTTTTCTCCTAGGCTAAAACATAAAAATGAGATAAAGGTCTAGAAAACTGCTCAAACACATACTTTTAATACATTTGTCATTCATTCATTCATTTTCTTATTATTCATTTCCCCTTATTAATCAGGGATCGCCACAGCGTAATAAACCACCAACTTATCCAGCATATATTTTATGCAGCGGATGCCGTTCCAGCCACAACATCCATACACACTCCACATCCACACACACTCATTCACACACATACAATACTATTTAGCTTACCCAATTCACCTGTACCACATGTCTTTGGACGTGGAGGAAACCAGAGCACCTGGAGGAACAGAACATGCAAACTCCACAGAAAAATGCCGGTGCTCCGGTTTCCCCCACAGTCCAAAGTAATGCAGTACAGGTGAATTGGGTAGGCTAAATTGTCCGTAGTGTATGAGTGTGTGTGTGAATGTGTGTGTGGATGTTTCCCAGAGATGGGTTGCGGCTGGAAGGGCATCCGCTGCTGGATAAGTTGGCGGTTCATTCCCCTGTTGCGACCCTGAATTAATAAAGGGACTAAGCCGAAAAGAAAAATAATGAATGACTGAAAGAAGCATTTTAAAAATGTCTGAATCAATGCAGAAAGGATTTGTTTGCCATCTCAGCTCTGACAAATAGAGCATTATTCGGCCTCAAAGTTTTGTCCAAAATAAGTTTTGTGAGGTGCAAAGACAACCTGCAAAGTCAACAAGCACAAATGGTGACAAATATTTTGTCATCAGGAGTCCAGTTTTTGCTATATCTGCTTTGTGTGTGTGTGTATATATATATATATATATATATATATATATATATATATATATATATATATATATATATATATATATATATATATTTATGGACGTAATGATATAAGATGCAGCCACATCATAAATCATCATAAATCTCCACTCACTTGTTTGCACTTTAAGTGTGTAGGGGTTCTTCTGCTGTATGGTGTGTGTGAACTCGAAGCGAGCATTGCAGCTGTAGTCAGTCTTGGCATCTTTAGCTAGAACGTTGGAGAAGAACAAGTCACCGTTCAGGCCCATTGACACCCTCCTGTCCTGTGCTATAGGCATAATGACTGTGGAGAAAAAGAGAATAGAATACAGACTCATTTACAGACTCAATGTGATGTGCAATAGCTGACAGGCAGCAGACGAAGTGATGATGCTCAAGATGAGTGTGAAAATCACAAAGGCATGATTATCATCTTCAGGCCGGAAACATACTGTAACAAGGCTCAGCAAACATGTCACTCGGGGGAAGAGAAGAAGTGTGGAAGACTGTGAGACGGAGATGAGCCTTCACAACTGGTCAGTAACTAGCCTAGATTCAATCATGTGTGTACTAGAGACAGTGTAATGATTAAATAACATTCTGCTAATGAATATTTTTTTATTTGCAAAGCAGTTTTAGAGTATTATAAAGGTAAAATAAGTAAGTTTTTACATATAGAGAGAGGCAGGATACAATATAACATTGTGGAGAAGCCTCGTCAAAATCCTGACCTAAATCCAATTGAGATGATGATCTTAAAAAGGTGGTTCATGCTAGAAAACCCTCCAATGTGACTGAATTACAATAATTCTGCAAAGATAAATGGGCCAAAATTCTTCCACAGCACTGTAACAGAAACTTGATTGCAATTGTTGCTGCTAAGATTGGCCCAACCCGTTATTAGGTTTAGAAGGAAAACATTATTTCCACACAAGCTTATGTAGTTTTTTTGTTTATTTTTCCGTTAATAATAAAAAGATTCATTTCAAAACTGTGTTATCTCTGACTTAAATTTTATTAGTTTGTTAATATGAAATATTAAAGTGTGACAAACATGCAAACAAATCACAAATCAATAAGGGTCAAACACTTATATATTTATATATGAAGAGTCCTATGTCTTGATTCAGTAATTTCACTTTTATGGCAAAAAATAGATTACTTACATCACTTTTAACATGAAATAATTGAACATAAACATAAGTGGCTGAGAAAAATGCTCATTGTAGAACAAAATTCCAGATAGCACTTAGAGGTTTTTGCATCTGAACTCTTCATATATATATATATATATATATATATATATATATATATATATATATATATATATATATATATATATATATATATATATATATATATATATGAATATATGTGTGTATATACGTATATAAATATATATATTACAGCATTAAAAAGACATAATTATAATGCAAGTATTACCTAAATTGACTGCATACTATGAAATTGTAGGAATTTAAGCTATAAATTATGTCACCTTCAAAATATTTAAGCTTTTATTACCAATAACACAATTCAATAGCTATTTTTAACTGTAACAATGATAAATACAGTCAAGATATATATTAAACGCTTTGTAAAGTGTGCATCCATGCTGTGTGATTCTAGGTCTGCTGAAATGTCTCAGCACTATGCTTGTTTCTGCTCGCTCAGCTTTTTGTCAGGTAGTGCAGATTCGCATACATGCACCAGCTCAGCACTAATACAGTAACACACACTGCTCTGCAGAGGACACAGACTGCAGGACTGACAGAGGAAGTGAGAGGGAGATACAAGAAAGAGGTTAAAGAAAGCGTGAAGGTGAAGACTCAATGACAAGGTAAGAGAGAAGAGGAGTAAGGGTAAGAAATCAGACACAATCAATCGCACTCACAGCTGTCCATCCAGAAGGTTTCAGGAGGGGGAAGACCAGGAGGAGGGTTGCAGGCCAGGACGAGCGGTGATCCCTCACGCACAGTTACCGGTTCCAAAACCTCCTTTGGCCACAGCGGAGACTCTGAGTAATGGAGACAAGTTCACCAGATTAGAGAATATACATAACAACATCACTCTATAAGAGATAATGCGGATTTTATTATGCAATTAATTTGCATGTTATTTTTCAAGGCATAGCTCATCCAAAAATATTATATAATTAATGTTAAAAAAATATATTTTGATTTATTTTGGGGATGCAACGTTATAGAAACTGTATACAGACAACCAATAAATGTTGCATTTGGAAATGGATAAATATAAGTATTTGTAGGCTTGATTCTAAAAACAAAAGTCAAATAAATGCAATGGGCTACTGATTTCACTTTAAAATTAATAACTGAACACAATATAGCCAGTAGCTTTAAACTGAAGTGGATCTACTAGTGCAGGCATTATCAAACTTGTTCCTGGACGTCCGGTGTCCTGCAGATTTTAGCTCCAACCCTAATCAAACACACCTAAACAAACTAATCAAGGTCCTACTAGGTATACTTGAAACACCCAGGCAGGCAGGTGTGTTGAGGCAAGTTGGAGCTAAACCTTGCAGGGCACAGGACCTCCAGGAACGAGATTGGTGACCCCTGTACTAGTGGATATAATGCATAATCTATCTTGTTTAATATATCAGGCTGATAACAATAACATTAAAAAAAATAATAAAATCTTTGAGAAAACTGAAAATGCAAATAGCTCAAATTAAACTAGTTCTGTTATACTTTTTAGGCTTTTTCTGTATTCAACAGAACAGTTTTAAAACATCATAATTAAATTTTTGGTGGAACTATCCTTTCATGTTATAATCATACATCCCTTACTTGACACTCGAAGCAGGATTTTGTTGGAAATGGCTGTGCCCAAGTTGTTGGAAGCGAAGCACTGGTATTCTCCTTCATAATCTTCTGGTTTTCCACTGCTTCTGATCTCTAGTGTTCCAGATCGACTTCTCATGGTCACCCGTGGGTCCTTACCCACATTAAAGAACTTTCCATTCCGCCTCCACTGAAACCTGCACAGACCGGGCCAAAACAGGAAATCAGCCACATTGAAGCTGTTTATGTAATAGGTCCATTTTTGGAGCTTTTAAATCAGGTGGTTTACATACACATCAGAGTAAAAGAACATGACTGCTAAACCAATTTAAGGACATTAACTTTGTAATTTTGATCTAAATGTCAGCCCCTCAGTATTCTAGTTGTAACACCTAAAGGTATAATTGCTATACTCTGAGTGGGATTTGAATTAATCCAGCATGAAAAGAGAGCACACTAACAATGATGTCAAAGACATCAGATTCTAGTGTGTATCTTCAGGCCAGTTCTTCCTTGTTGGCCTCACACACAGTTTCACACTCACCCTCTAAACCTCACTCTTTTCCAAGTCATGGCATCAATTTAATTCATCCAGTTCAATTTGCCCTACTCAAAGTGGGTTTCAACCCAGCTTCTCCTTCTTTCTGGACAGTTGCGCTAATAAGATGCTAACACACAGCCACTCATGCACCTCTTGAGGCTAATGGAGTGAGGAATCCTCACACATCTCTTAATAGTTGGCTTCTGTTAAACTCACCAGCCTTAACCTTACTCCCTTCCAGGTCATTGCACCAGTATAACCCCTCTTGTTCTACAAGCCCTGCTCAGAGTGGGTTTTAAACCATGTTTTCAGCAAGGTAGACTGGCACTAGGAGTGTCACAATTGTTTCTTCAATGTACCGCAGTAATGTCACAGATGATGCCGTATTAGTTCATTAATAGATCATAACTGATTATTACGTGCTGACAACCTTTATCTCATATGCATGTTGTGGTAGCCGACTATGGTAAGGTGGGGGGGCGGGGGTTAAAATGCTGTAACTACTTAAAAAGCAGACTCTCTATTTCTCTCTATATACATCTCTTTCTCTCTCACTGTGAAGCCCTTGACTTGCTGGTGTGTCTGTGAGGTAACATTTTCTCCTCTCTCAGTTGTTACAGTGATATTTGTGTAAGCATATCTGCAAAGCGAATTTTCTTCACTGCATGCATCATGGATCAGCTGTGACAGCTGCGGCTGTTCTTCAGTGTCCGTGTCACTGCTCAGTGAACAGCATTCACCGTTCTGTAGCCAATCACAGCCCTTTCTGTTGAGCCTGAGCTTTCGTATTGAACCGAAAGGGTGACATGATAATCATAACTGAACCGAGAGACCAGTGTAGGTTCACACCACTAGCTGGTACGAACAAGACAACAAATTCTAGTGTGCTTCTTGAGGCTAGATTAGTGAGGTTTCCCTGCACCATTCTTACTAGTTGGTCTATGTAACACTTATCTACAAACATCGCTCCCTTCTGAGTCATGGCATCAATGCAACCCTTCCTTTTTATTAGCACTGCTTTGAGCAGGATCAAAGCAGTTTTTTAAGTAGGGTTGGGCATCTAAGCTATAATGCCGATCCGATACGCATCTCGATACAAAGAATATGATCCGATATATTAGCGATACATTTGTGACATATTGCGATGCAACACGATACGATTCACACCCATATCACGATACGATGCGATATTTCAGCACTAACTAATTAGATCAAGTTTATGAGATGATGTGAAAGAGGATGCTGTGCCATTGAATGAGTTTGATTATTTATAAACCAAGCAAAACCAAGACTTTTTTTACAAACTGGCTCTTCTCTCAGAGCCAGAGTGTCAGTTTACAGTAGAGGGCCATTTTAGAACATATAGCACATATTATTTAAGTATTTTCAAGATAAACAGAATGTATAAGTGCAATATATATTAAAAAAGTATGTATATATTTGCACTCTTTCAACATAAATAAATTTAGCATTGCACAACAAGAATTGTGATTTAACTTTTCAACTATGAAAACTAGTTTTACAAAGATATATTTTGCCACTGATTATTCAAAACTTAAGGTCGTGAACTAGCAGTGTTATGCTGCTTTGAAACATCACTGTCACTGTAAACAACAGGCTAATAAAAATATAACAAACCAGCAATCTTCTTGCTGTGAGGTGGTCAAACTACCCACTGTGCCACCGTGACACCCATTATTTTTATCATTATTATTATTAATATTATTATTACTATAATTAAATAAAAATAAACAGGAGGAGGTGTTTAAAACCTTCGTTCTCCGTGACACTAGGCTGAATATCTTTGCAGATGAACAATGCAATAGCATTCGTTATTGGAGTAGAGCGCACAAAACTGTTGCGCACGGAAAAAAAAACTTGCAATACTTTTCTCACTACTTTTGGAGCTGGTTGAAGCAGTGCGAAAGCCGGGGATGTAGGAACACTGGAAAATGCTTTCACAACAACACCGTGGCGCCGCTTCAAGTGAGATTTCAGATTAGTCATACTGCCCGCGTATTTTACAGATGCGCGGCACATTTTGCAAATTGCATCTGTCCTGTCATGTCGTCCATCCTTAAATCCATAATGTTGCTTGCCATACTTTAGATTTAAAACTCAGTGGGGACTAAAATGTTTGTTTTGCTTCTCGCGCTTTCTGAGGGTGCTCCACTAGCTTCATCCGCACACCTGATACACTGAGTTGTAGTGAAAGTGTACACATCCGCAAATCCGTTGCTAAGGCTTACTTTATGTAGGTCAATTAAATTATGCGCCAAAAACAGGTTGACAACACTTGTTAATAAATAAAAAATACATTCTATATTAAAAATATAAGCTGTATCTCGGAAAAATCGATGCATCTCGCAAAAACCGATGTATCTCGATTTGCTTCCAAAATTTCATTCATCCTCTGCTGCTCAACCGATGCACTCGCATCGTGCACGCGCATGACCGCGTATCGATACATATCGATGAATCTTCCCATCCCTATTTTTAAGGTATGAAAGTACACTATCAAGCATGCTAAGGACCACTAATCCTAGCACACGGATCCCCACCCTTATTCCCAGATAGGCAGTGTTCTGTAGCCTCAACCCTAATTGAACAGAACCAGCATACCAAGGTTTTTAGGCCCTTTACAAATGTCAAGGTTTTTTTAGAGATAACATTTTTGGAGTTTTGATCCTCAAAAAACAAAATCGGGCGCCTAGAAAGAGACCCCTGCTTTAACATCAGTGGGCCTGTTGAGGCCTAGGGAGTAAGGTTTACATTTGTATTAGAAGCTCAAATAATTTCATCCTCATGTGCATGGGTCCTTTTAATAACCACCAACAACTTGCATTCCAATTTGCACCTAATTCTGATCAATAGACCAAGTTCTGTCCTGAATTTGTTTCTTCTATAATCGGTACAATCTGAATGCAAGCCACAAGATTAAAGAACCGTTCTGTTTACATTTCACGTTGACCTTTAAACTTTGTAGGATCACATGCTTGGAGTTGACCGGGTGCCATCTACTAACCTACTGAATATTCTGTGAGCGTGAACACTAAACTGATCGTATTATGAAACCACAATGGTTTTGCGGACCAGCCTGAGTGGAAGGTTTTGTAAAGCCCAACAGACCACCAAACAAAAACAGGCCCTCTGAATGGCCACACTGTGTTGAGCTGGTCAGGCCTACTTTCCACAAACAAGCACAAGGCACTGGAGCCAGAGTGAGCGCCCCTGCATATCTGATGGCATGAGAAAGGAACAAGAGAGAGAGAGAGTGGACAAAGCTGGCAGTGCCACTGTCAGGTTGGGGCATTGGGTGTCACTCTCACAAAAATGTGCTGGTCTTTGTCAGTGCCTAGACTAATGGACGTTGGATTTAATTAGTAAGCGGGAGTTGAAGAAAAATAAAAGACAATCAGAGAAGAAATGTGAAAGTGGTTGTATACATAATAAGAACTTGCTGACAAACTATAAACGTAAAAATGTGGAGAGCTGAAGAAAGAAAGAACAAAACGACACAAAGAAAAAAGGTTTCATCCATTCTCACGTTGGCACTGGGTTCCCCTTGGCCTCGCATTCAATGATGATGTTATCTCTGGGGTCCACAATGTAGTCCTTTAGTGACTGCTTCACAATGGTGGGGGGCTGTTTCACTGTGGAGGGAGGGACAAAGAGACAGTCTTATCTCACCAGTGCTGTGGAAGAACAGTCACTCAATGTTATGCATACATATGCAAGCAACGCATTTCTTGCTACTGTCTGAGAACTGAACAAAAGGTTGCTCAATGTACTCTTAGCCTAACATTCAAAATATTGACACCATTACCACAGAGACAAAGTTTTGATTGAAATACAACATAAATCACTAATTCATCATTCTTTACATACGCTTCTGTGTTTCCACACAAAAACACAGGCTAATGACAATGCTATCTATCGAGGCTAGCATAAAGATTATACAGTAACCCTCAGCCTCAGTTATCCCTTTAAACAACTCATTAACACAAAAATTATTTACAATTGTGCACATTCAGCTTGGGAATTAGTAAGCAAAATAGATAAACAACATTAAAACGGAGTTCTAGCAAGCAGCTACTATGCTAATATCACACATGGTTTTATATATAAGCTAATAGCTTTGCACCATTACTCTTAACCCATGATTTTCAAATACATTTTTCTTAAAATCAAAGTTTATAATTGTTTTTTTTTTTCACCTCACAGCTAATTGGTTTCATTCCTTGCTTTCAACTTACAAAATTTAAAATATTTGATATTTAAATCTTTCAAGAACAAATAAACAGTAAATACTTCCAAAACCAGGGCCCCTAAAAAAACACGGCCGGACATTGTTGTACTCTTTTGGAATCCACTAAATTGTAGCTATTAGCCTTTTTGTTCACTGCATTATACTCACTGAACTTGATACACGATTAGCCACAAGATTCCTGACTGCTCTACTCTACTTCAAGCTGGCTGAGAACCGTGGGTATTCTGGCACGGCTAACAAACCCCTGAAGTAATCCTTCCTCTCAAAGACGTGGCCTGCCAAAAAGACATGCTCATGGGCTTACATTAGAATATTAATCAGCTTTAATAAGTGATAGACTTTATAATTTCTCTGAAGTAGCACAGTGAACTTGTGAAAGCTCTCTCGAGATTGTGTCTTTTCCATGTTTTTTGTTTTGTGAACTGTATTTTTTGCTGTAATTGTAAAAAGAGATTGGGCAACGTCCAACAGCAACGCTCTGTTCTTGAGATTTCTAATGTGATAAGTTTTGTTGTAAGCCATGTTAAAACCAATCCACTCGTCTAATGAACAAGTTAATCCATGTTAATGAAGCACTTACGCTCTTGCTGGATCTTTGCTGTTAGTTCCAAGGAGGAGCGGATGGAGAGAAAAACAGATTAATTGTGGGAATAGTTAAAAGAGAGTGTGGATACATGTTAGATGTGGAATAATGACTATAGCTGTGACAGTAAACAAAACATTTACATTACATGGATAGTTCACCTCAAAATAAAAATTTGCTGTTAATGTATTCAACCTGAGCGTATCACAAGGAGCCAAGGGTATTTCATTTGTTTTGCCTGTACATTTTTGTGCCAGAGTGCCAGAGCCAGTAGCAGTAGAAGGTAGGGATAATAATATTAATAATTATTAATATTTCCTTACATTTATATAGCGCTTCTCTGGACTTTATAAAATTTTTGGGGGGAATCTCTTCCACCACCAGTGTGCAGCATCCACCTGGATGACGTAACAGCAGCCATATTGGGCCAGACTGCACACCACACACCAGCAGATTGGTGGAGAGGAATGGTGATGGGTAGGAGGCCATGATGAACAGAGGCCAGTGGGCAAATTTGGCCAGGATGCCTGGGGTTAAACTCTATTTTGAAGGACATCCTAGGATTTTTAATGACCACAGAGAGTCAGGACCTGAGTTTAACATCTCATCCGAAAGACAGCGCTCTCTGAGCACAGTATAAATTCCCCATTATTATACTGGGGAGTTAGGACCCACTTAGACCGCAGGTTGAGCGCCCCACTGCTGGTCAAACTAACACCACTTCTGGCAGCAACCCAGCTTTCCCAGGTGGTCTCCCATCCAGGTACTGACCGGCCACAGCGCTGCTTAGCCTAAGTGGATGACCATGTGAAAGTTGCCGAGAGCAGAGATGTTAACAAACGACAGAGTCTCTAGCTGCCGATAGCCTGTGGGTGATTACATTTACAGCAATTTTTTATTTACTAGTGATTAAACTGTAATATTGTACATTAAAAAGGCTAATCAACTACTGCTACAAGACAAGACAAACATTTGTTTTAATCAATGAGTTACACTTTAGTACAAATATTATACACACAATGACTGTCTACATTCTTAAAAATGGAGGTTCATTATTGGCAACATTAGCATCAGTGGGTCCATGAAGAACCTTTAACATCTATAGACTCTTGAAAATAAATATTTACTGTAATCAGTAGTTCACTGTAGAACTTTTAACTTTCAAACTTTACAGACCACAAAAGGTTCTTCAAATTAAAAAAAAAAAAAAAACATTCTTTATAGGGCTGCACAATATATCGTTTCATTGATTCATTGATATCACAATATGATCATTCACAATAGTCAAATCGCGAGTATACGCAATGTTGAGTCTGGATTATTATTTTTATTTATTATTTTGCAACTGCTTTTTAAGGTTTGTGACTGTGTGAAGGTTTTAATTAGTAAATTAAATTAAATTATTAATTTAATAATGATTAATTTGATTGATTTGTCTATACATTCAAGACTATGCAGTATTATTTTACATTTGATCAGTCAATTACTGTATAGCTGAATACAGTTCGACTCCTTGGGAAAACAATTAAATGCTGTTTATTTAATTGGTATCGTTTTTCTTTATTAAATTGATCTATGCTTGTAGATTATATTTTATGCACTCATATACAGAATCATCCCAATCAATCTAAAATGATAAATTCTTTCTAAACAGTTATTCAACTCATCTAACGAAATCGTTTTCATATCACAATATATATGGCATAATAAATAAAATATCGCAATGCAAAATTTTTACAATATTGTGCAGCCCTATGTCTTTATTAAAACTAATTCACACTAAGCAAAAAAAAGTTCTTATCTATAAAGTCATTTTTAGAAGCAAAAATGGTGATTTTGTGGCAGGTTAGTTTTGAAACCAGTTTTGAAATCTTTTTTTAAGACATGACATTTTTCATTCCATAAACGGAATTTAACAAGTGAAAAAAACATTTAGATTACTTAAAAGTTCTTCATGCTACAGAAAGAAAATGGTTATAAGAAATGTTTTCTGAATGGTTCTTTAAGTACCAAAAAATAGTTCTTATTTTTATATGAGAATGCTGAAAAAAAATAGTTTTTCCAGAACATATTTTTTTTAAAAGGCACCTCAACATAGTAACACCAAAAATAGCAACCAAACAAATAAACCTACCTGTTAATGGGCCGCCAGAGGAATGAAGCAGAAAGAAAAATGCAAATAGACAGAGACAGGATATTAATTTTAACACAATTGTGAAAAAAATCAAAGCATAATACCAAATATACATCACTGTCACATTAGCAAATCATAATCGGTGCATTTGTCTTCCCATATGGCAGCATGTTTAATCTTCGACTGTCTTTCTTTGTCAGACTGTTAAAGTGACAGGCCCTGCAGGGGGGTTCGCTCATATTCCATAATAACCTCGATCAATGTGATGCATGTTCTCAGAAGAGTTGAGAAATGCTTTTTGCAAAAGTACTTTGCTAATTAAAGGGATATGACCTCCATCCTCGTGTTATAGCAGCAGAAAGCATCCATGTGTCAGTTATGTTTTTCATGGGATAGCGACAGGTGCATCTCTGGCTCCCTGCCATTCATCATCTGACATCAATCATAGCACATATGCAAGGTCACAGGGGGATGGAACGTCATGAGCAACATATGTGTCAGTGTGTGTGCCTGTGTGTGTGTGTGTGTGTGTGTGTGTGTGTGTGTGTGTGTGTGTGTGTGTGTGTGTTTATCTGTCGGTCAGCTGGGAGCCGATAATAACCCTCATCAATAGAAATCGCATTTAGGGAGAGCAAAAATTAGGAGTGAAGGATCATTAGGGAAGACAATGGAAAAATGCTAGAAGTGACATCTCAAGTTCAATTTATCTTTTAGATCAAGGGTCTTCTGCAGGGGGTCTGACAGTTGTTGCATGAATATCAGTCCACTAAGGACTACTAAAATCTGATATGCTCTAAATTTATTGGTCAAGCTTTTTTGTACAATGGAAGTGAATGGAGACTTAAATTTTCAGTTTGAGATTTTAGTAAAATCAAAGTTTTTCTACTTTTAATTTAATTAATTTTTTTTAAGGAAACTGCACAAACGTATTATTCTTCAGCAGACATAAAATACACTATAGCGCATCGGTCTTATTAATTACTAATGAAGTTTATTTATAAACAAATTTTGAGAGGATCACAGGCTTATGATTGTTCTTAGCTTTTCCAGCATCAGTTAATGATCGATTATCCAATCAGATGATTCCTAATTCACTATAAATAACCAGAGTTTTCTTATCTCAATATCTTCGTCTTGAAGAACCCACCCCCCACCGAACCCTACTTTCCCTCCTTTTCAAACAGGTGACACGGCAGCCCAGTGATTAAACGACTAAACCAGATGACATTACTGTACAGAATTTCATTTGTTCATTCAGAGTTACATTCATGTTGTGCTGGCGTGGGTTTTCCTCGGGTTCTCTGGTTTTCTCCCACAGTCCAAATAACATGCACCCTAAATAAATTGAACACACAAAATTTATGCCATAAGCCCCTTTCACACAGTGATACCGGTAAATATCCGGAAAATTTCCGGAACGACTTTACCGGTATATTCAAAAAGCGCTGTTTACACAGGCGAGGGCGTTACGGAAATTTTCCGGAAAAAGACCATTCACACATCCATTCCAAAATACCGGTAAATTCTGACATCATTCACCACAAATGAGCTTTAAACGGCTGCGCCTGTATTTGTAAACATTTGACTAAATTACAAACTCTGTGGATGATCAATATTGTGAACAACTTTCTCAGGATCACTTTCGCATGTCGAGATGTTCATAATATGTGCGTGTGCAGGCGCTCACAGGCTGTTTCACAGGCACACGAACGTAAACAAACAACGGCTTATCATAAGCATCTCATCGATGATTATTTACACAGTTGGCATTAAGAAGAACATATAAACGTGATCTGACTAACTTCTAGCAGCTAAATGTGTCTGGAAAAATATTCAAAGGCTTTTATCCTCACAAACCGCGCGGACGTAAATGCGTCTGACTGTTGTGATTGGCTAAAGCAGACGTCTCACGTCAGCACGTTCTAGACGTGCACGCGCTTATTACGGCAATCTTCCTTCTGCATTCACACAGCGCAGCATTTCGGCAAATTGCCGGTAATGTTACAACTTCTCTTTCCGGAAAATAGCCAGAACGAATTTACCGGTATTTTCAAAAAGGACCTGTTCACACACACAACCTTTCCGGAAAGGTCTGTATGTGTGAAAGGGGCTATAGTCAAGCTCTCAGCGAGTACACCTCTCCTCAGTCATCCATATCCTTCACTTAGCTACAAATAAGCCAGGGGGAGTCATCGAGATCTACCTGAGCTCAAACATCCTCTCGCCCTGCAAACGGGAAGGAGCCCAGGGCTCAAGGATCTCATAAGCTCAGGGCTCTCTCCTGGGAGAGCATGCCAAAAAAGCTTTTTTATCAATCATCAGCTAAGTGTGAACTCTTGAATTGTTAAACATGGAGTCTGACTAGCATTAGTTTAAAGGAACATGACGGTATTTTTAAGTGAAGTTTCACAAACTAATTTCGAGAGGAGCACATGATATGATTGATCGCAGCAGGTCTCTCATCTGTAATCATTAGTAAGCCAATCAGATCAAACTCACTATAAATAGCCTGACTAGCAATTCTCCCTCATCATTGTTTTTTGAAGAATCGCCCCATCCACCCCATCTCCTCCTTTACCAAGGGAAGCTCTCGAGAACTTCCTGAACTCATACCCCCTCACTTGCTCATTGACAAAGCGAGAGCCCTGGGCTCAATTATGTACAAGCTCAGGTTTCTCTCCTGGGACATCATGCCAAACCTGCTTTTATTGTCAAGCAATATCTAAGTGTGAACTGTGGAAAACATATTTACTCAGCAATTATACAGCCAAGTAATACACAAAATGATGTGTAAAACTATTCTATTGTCATATAGGCTATGAAAATACAATTACTCTGTACTGAAAAATTATATTCATCATTCGTAAACTTAAAATCTGCA